CAGCAGTTCAAGTGACAGTGTGTGTCTTGTCAGAAACCATGGAGGGCAGAGGAGGTAGCCCAACATTTTTCAAGTGCTAAAAGAAAAGAACAGCCAAGTGCAAATTATATATCTGGTAAAACTATCCTTTGGGAATAAAGGGAAAGTAAGGACATCATTCTTAGATAGAGGAAAACTAAGAGAATTTGTTGCTAGTAGATACACCCTGAGAGAATGGCTAAAGGAAGCTCTCCAAAAAGATAAGATACGGTAACAGAAGAAGGCTTGGAATTTCAGAAATGAAAGAACAATGGAATGGGTGAAAATAGGTGAAAGTATAATAGAAAAGCAAATATTTAAGACGTTATATTTTTCAAGTGGGAAGGGTAAAAGATGCTAAATGGAAGTATGTTTTCAGTAATTCACTTCTAAGTAGTAAAACAATACCAGTAGGCTGTACATACTCATATATTGTAATTACTAAAGCAACTACTAAGAAAACTTTGCAAAACAATATACACAAAAACATAAAAAAATATCACAGGAAGGCGAGAGAAACAGAGGGAACAAATAAAAATAAAAAACAAAACAAAATAGCAGATACAGCTCTAAGATACCAACAATTACTTTAAATGCAAATAGTCTAAAAACTACAGAATAGATTTTTAAAAATATTACCCAAGTATGTAGCTTCAAGAAATGCATGTCACTGGGCCGGCCGAGTGGCTCAGTTGTTTAAGAGCTTTCTCAAGAGTTTGAGCTCTGAGCAACAGCGGTTCGAGTCCAGCCCGAGCTGAGCAGCCGCTGAGCTGCCAACAGGTAGCAGGATGGCTCAGCTAAAAANCTCTGAGCAACAGCGGTTCGAGTCCAGCCCGAGCTGAGCAGCCGCTGAGCTGCCAACAGGTAGCAGGATGGCTCAGCTAAAAAAAAAAAAAAAAAAAAAAGCATGTCAAACATAGGGACATAGGTAGGTTAAAAGTAAAAAGATAAAATATATATCACGTTAACATTAATTTTTTAAAAAAGTGGCTGCCTATATTAATATTAGACATAGTAGACTTCACAAGCAAAGAATAAAGGATCAATCCACCAAGAAGATTTAGCAATTCTAAAGGTATATGCACCACAAAACAGGGCTTCACCATACATGAAATAAAAACTGATAGAGCTGAAAAGAGAAATAGTCAAACCCACATTTATAGTTGGCGACTTATTATATATCTCACTCTAAGCAATTGATAGAACTACTGGATGGAATATTCATAGAGAGGAATTTAACAATATCATCAAACAACAGGATCCAATTGACATTTACAGAAATTCCACCCAACAGCAACAATCTTCTTTTCAAGCGTCTACGGATCACTCACCAAGATGGATCCTGGGTCATACATACATTTAAAAGATTGAAATCATACAGAATATATTTTCTGACCATAATGGAATTAAATTAGAAACCAATAACAGAAAGACCACAGGAAAATCATCATACACATGGAAATTAAACAGTACACTTCTAAATAATCCATGGATCAGGGAAGAAGTTACCAAAAAAAATTTTAAAAACAATTAACTGAATGAAATTGAAAATGCAACACATCAAAATTTGTGGAATGCAGCTATAGCAGTGCTGAGAGGGGACTTGATGACACTAAGCACTTACATTGGAAAAGAGGTCAATGATATAGAAATTACTCCATCAAGAAACTAGAAAAAGAACAAAATAAATCCAAAGCAAGCAGAAATAGTGAAATTGTAAACAAGAAAACAGAACATCAATTAAACCAAAAGTTGGTTCTTAAAAAAATGAATACAATTGATAAACCTTTAACAAAACTGACAAAGAAGAGAGAAGACAAACCACCAGTAACAGGAACAGGAGATACGACTGTAGCATTAAAAGAATAATAAGGGAATAGTAGGAGTACCTTTACACTCACAAATTCGACAACTTAGAAGAAACGGACCAATCCCTTGAAAGCCACAAATTGCCACAACTCAACCAAGGTGAAATAGATAACCAGAATAACCATGAAAGATATTGAATGTTTAATTAAAAATCTTCTGATGGTTTCACTGCAGAATTTTGCCATACATTTAAAGAGTAACACTAATTTTACACATAAAAATATAAGAGGGAATATTTTCTAACTCATTCTATGTGGTCAGTATTAATCCTGATACCCAAAACAGACAAATATAATACAAAACAAACTGCAGACCCATATCTCTCAGGAATTTAAATGTAAAAATTCTTAACAAAATATTAACAAATCACATCAAGCAATGTATGAAAGGAATTGTACCCAGCAGCCAAGGGGAATTCCAGATATGCAAGGCTGGTTCAGCAATCAAAAACCAGCCTCTGTAATCTACCATACCAACAATCTAAAGAAGAAAAATCATAAAGAAGAAAATGCATTCAGCAGAATCCAACACTCAGTCATGATAAAACTCTCAACAAAGAATCGCGGGAGAGCAGTTAATGGTGGAAGGCGGCGATGCTTCTACCCGAAGGTCGGGCGCGAGGCAAAGATGCTCACTGTCACCACTCTTACTTAAGATTGTACCGGAAGTGCTGGTTGGTGCAATAAAGCAAAGAAAGGAAATAAAAGGCATATAGATAAGAAAGGAAGAAATGAGTCTGTCTCTATTTGCAGATGACATTCATTGTCTGTGTAGAAAATTCTCAGGAATCTACCCCCAAAACTCCTAGAACTAATAAGAAAGTTCAGCAAGGTCACAGGATACACTATCAACATGTAAGAGTCAACTGCATTTCCATACGCTAACAATGAGCCTATCTCACTCAAAATCCTTTACGTTTATGTTCGCAGCAGCTTTGGTCATAATAGCCAACAACAAGAAACAACCAGAATGCCATCCAGAAGGTGACTGGTTAAACTGGTGCAACCAGACCGTGGAACACTACTCAGCAGTAGGAAGGGACTAAGCAATGCACCTCCCAGCACTGTGCTTCGTGAGAGAAGCCAGACACAAAAGGTTGCATCCCGCATGATTCCATTTGGCTAATACTTTTGAAACAATACTATAGAGATAGAGAACAGATTAGTAGTTGCCAGAAATTTAGGGTATGGAAAGGGAAGGGGGTCGGGTGGCTATAAAGGGAACATGAAGGAGCCCCGTGGTGTTGGAATAGTTATGTCTTGATTGTTAGTAGTGGTTACATAAAATTGATAAAATTGCATAGAACTGCAGATATGCACAGGCATGCACACACACATATGAGTCCATGTAAAACGAAAAATCGGAATAAGCGCTCTGAATTGTACCAATGCTGGTTTCCTGGGTTTGATGGTGTACTGTAGTTACGCAGGATGTCAACACTGGAGGGAGGCCAGGTGAAGGGTACGCGGTACCTCCCGGTACATTTCATTGCAACTTCCTGTGAATCGATAATTATTTTAAAACCAGTTTTAAAATAAAGCCTCCTACCCTCCCTAGTTTAGTGTGCCATCCCCTTCAAATTTAAGTTACCATTGTTTTTCGTTTCGTTGTGATTCTTTTGAATGCATGTATAAGTGTATTTGTAATAGAAATGTATTCCTCTCCATCCCTTTCCTAGACAGGTGGTTTCATGTTACACATACTGTTCTGCACCTTACTTTTTTTTTTTTCACTTAGAGATCATTTCCTATCAGTCATAAAAGAATGTTTTTGTGTTTTATTTTTTCAGATTCAGAGATTACATTGATATATTGCTCGGATGAAAGACCTTGCACTTGCTGTTTTGCATGTGTATGAATGGGTCTCTAATATAAATTGCTAGAAATGGGATTTCTGGATTAGAATTTATCTACACTTGTAATTTTCAGAGATACCGCTAGACTCTGTATATGAGTTGTACCATTTCACGCTTACCAGCAGTGTATGTCTTCATATTGTCCCCAACAGTTACTTTCAAATTTTAGGACTTTTGACATTGTGCTAGGTTAAAATGGCATCTCAGTGTAGTTTTAATTTTCATTTACCGTAAAGACTGGACATTTCTTATCTTCAAAAGTAATTGGTATTTCTGTAAACTGTGTTCATATTCTTTTGGCCATTTTTCTGGTGGGTTGTTGGCCTTTATAGGAGTTATTGATTTGTAGGAGTAATTTATAATAATAAACTCTTTGGGTGGCAGGATGGCTCAGCTAAAAAAAATAAAAATAAAAAAATAATAAACTCTTTGTCTTTGATGTGAGATTCAGATTTTATTTCCCTGTTTATCAGTTGCTTTTTGACTTTCACTGTTTTGTTGTTTTTTTGGGGCTACATTGAAGGTTTTTCTTTTTCTTTAGTCAAACTTATCTTTTGTGGCTTCATGATTTTGCACAAATTAGAAAAGTTTTCCATGTACCCAGGTTATAAATTTCATGGTCTTTTAATGCTTTCAGCGCCTATATCTGAAGCAGCCTCCTCACAGTGGTGCTGCTGGGCATAGCCGAGGCAGTAGACTTTATTTCTGGCCCTGGGTCTGATTTCATGGGTCTCCTCTGCCTTGTTGGAAATCTGGGTCACTGCTAGAATTAGATCAAGTTAATCTCACATCCTCCATAAAGTGGTGCTTTACAGGGAAAGGAAGTAAGAGGAGGACATTGGATGATCTTCTGGCTCTTATCCCATCTCTTTGCAACCTTTATTCCAAGAGATAAACTCTAGTAGAAGAGGTTTTTGTCCCCTGTGTGCTCCGGGAGTTAGTGGTTGGGTGACAGAAGCCCTTTGCCCGTCTCCATGGAAGGGAAACCAAACTTGAAGGGCCATTTCCTTCCATTGATCATTTGTGCAAATCCCACTTAGGTTGCTTCTCCTCAGGGACAGGCTGCCTGAATCTCTGGAATCTAAAACTGGCCTCCGTCACAATGAGGGGAGCTTGGGAGTCTTGTCCACATTTCAGTGACACATCTCTGTGGACGTTTTCAGAATGAAGTGCTAGTTCGTTGTGTGTCGCTGCTAAAGCTTGCGTTTTAAAACTGAGTGTGAAAAACATTTGCTTAGCTTAACTTTCCCCCCCTTAGGAATAGCCAAGCCAGAAGAAGGACGGCCTCCTGTGAGCGTGACCGGAAATGACATCACCGCCCCTCCAAACAAGGAGCTCCCACCAAGCCCAGAGAAGAAAACGAAGGTAGTTGCCAGAATGGTGGGTTAATTTTTACCGCTGTAGTTTTTTTTAAGCAGTACCTTCAGCTATTATTGTTTGAATTGTGAATGAAATTTCTTTTTTTCTGAGCTGTTATTAGTCTTTTCTCAAGTTCGGACGTACTTAAAAAATATTTTCTATTCCCATTTTACCATAGTGGCCGAACTCAAACCTTAATTGTCTGCTGTTGACCCTATTCTGTTGAGTATCTGTACGTTCCGTAGTGGTTGTTCCTGCTTCCCTTAACAGCAGCAAAGGGATTCACAGAACTGTTCTGAAATAGATTCTGCAAATCTGCATTCATGAAAAGGAAACACAGACACTTATTGGTACTTCTTGCAAAGTTCAAATGCCACACTTTAGTGTGATCTTAGAACAGGATGCTGATGTTGCCTCCTGGAGGTGCAGGTAACGACAGTGAATCACCTGCTGATTGATGACTTTCTTGTTGGGGTTATTACAGCCACCAAAAGTTAATTAATTGTTTAAGGCTGTTACTGAGTTTAAATCTTCAGGTGGCAAACTGCTGGAATTAGTGTTGTGACACTGTCACTAAGAAACAATTCCCAATTTTCTTTTTCTCTATCCTGGTGTCTTTCTACTATTTGCTGAGCTCAGAAAAAAGGAATGCTAATTTTCAGTTGCATCTGTCCTCATTGCTTATAATTTTATTTTGAATTGTGCAATTTATACTTTTTTTTAAAATTTGTTTTTATTTTTGTCTGTGTGTTTGATGTTGACCTTTTTAAAAAACAAAAACAAAACAACAAATCAACTTAAAGCCTTTGGCCACAACTCAGCCTGCAAAGACTTCAACATCGAAAGCCAAAACACAGCCCAGTCCTCTCCCTAAGCAGCCAGCTTCCACCACCTTTGGTGGGTCGACTAAAAAACCCATGAGCCTTGCTTCAGGCTCAGTACCAGCTGCCCTACCCAAACGCCCTGCTGCCGCCACTGCCAGGCCCTCCATCTCACCTTCAAAAGATGTGAAGCCCAAGGTAAGTAGTCACCTAAGCACTGTGCAGGGAAAGGTTTTCCCCTCTGAGTGTCAGGTAGACTGCCATGGAATCAGGCCGGTGGCACTGGGGAAATGCCAGGGAAAGGGGGAGGGGGACTTGACACTCAGATTGGGGGCCCATGATGCAGTGGCACCATTTGAAGGCCTTTGATACCTTTCCCTGTCTTGTTTGAAGCAGTATTACAGCTACTCTGGTTCCTCTTCCTTTCTCCCAACTCCCCTTACTCTTCAGCTATTTATGCATTTGCTAACCAGTTTGCCCTTCTCCACATACTAATCAGATATTCATTTTGGGTATAATTCCCACCTCAAAATCCCAGTCAAACTCTCTTTTTTTGTCCTTCTCGCTAATCCTGCAGAAGTGAATTTGACCCATTACTTTTATGATAAGGTCGTCCAGCTTAGCAGGTTCCAGCATCGTGTGATAACTTACTTTGCTTTTGGCATTAGGCCGCCTCTCCCTGGGCTGCTTCTGAAGTTTTCCCGTTTTCCAGGTCACCCACACATTATTGCCTAGAAACTGGTCACTTTGGAACAACGGTAGATCATTCTAGGAGGAGAGGGCAGGCGGAGTCTGTGGCTGCCTTAATGTCTTATTTCATTTGAGAAGGTCCTTTAGGTCCACCTGATGTTATTCTTTAAATTCATGTTGGGAAATAGTTTCCCATGTTAAAATGTCAGTGTTTTAATCTAATCTTGTAAAGAAAACTGGTGGAATCTAGGAATTGTATGTAGTCTGTGTTGAAATCCTGGCCAAGAAACTGAGAAATCCTGTCATAGACTAAGAATGATAAAATCTCACAGAGCTTTCTGATCCTCACCTACCCAGTAGACTGTTTTTCTGGATTTTTTAGAAAATAGTATCTTTGAATTGGAGGGCAGAGGGAAGGTGACAGCTCCTCCCTGATACTTAATCAGCAGCGAACCCCAAGGGAGACAGAGGAGGGTGTAGGGGGAGGGTGGTGTCTAGTGAAATTTCCCTCTGTGATGATGATGATGATGATGATGATAATAATAAGTACAGTACTGGTGTCTTTGTATACATTAACTCCTTTAATTCTCTCTCTCAACAACCTATGATGTAGATAATAGTGCCCTCATTTTAGAACTCAGTTTAACAACCTTCCGAAAGTCCAGTGCCAGTGTGCGGCAGAGGCAAAATTTGAACTTGGGTCCAACGCCAATGTTGATGCTTGGGCCCTTTATCAACATGTTCTTCCTGGCTTGTTGCCATATAGCTTTTAGATAGCATTCGAGTTATGGCTGACCTGAAGAGGTGATCTGCGTGACAGTGATTACTATTCTCTGTCTTTTAGATAAGAAACAGATGGAAACACTTTGAGAGATGGAGAGAAATTAAACTCTAGTGAAATATACTTTTATCTTTTTATCTTATTTTGATAGATTTATAGATGCAAAGCGGGGAAAAACGTATTCAAAAATAAGTAGATCTATGGTTCTGGCAGAGGGAAAATAAAATTGAGAAACAACAGAGTGTCTCCAGTTTAGAAAATAGGCTGGGTCTGCAGCTTGCTGAGGCCAAGAGCCTGATATGTAAAGAATGTCACATCCTTTAGAGGTTTCTATCCCAAGTATCTTTTTTCTAACTTGTATCATTATTATTCTTGCTAGCAAAATATTGAGACTCCACTAGATTATTCTGAACCATAGTCATAGTATTGAAAATTTGAAGGAGCCCCCGGGAAGCATCTGGTTTAGTCCCCAAATTCTAGAGCAAATAGAGAGGGAGTCCCTCTGCACGAACTCCTGTGACACCTTCCGGACAGAGCTGGTAGCAGAACCTTAGGGTTCTTTGTGTCTATTAGGGATTTCATTTGTGGAAATGGACATGACCCTGCATTTGCTGGGTTACATTTTATTTAATTGGATGCCAGCCCTGAATTTCTAAGCATATTCTTAGCTGATTTTCCATTTAAGCAACGTTCTGTTTGTCTCTGCCAACATACCTTTGTGTGGCCGTTTCTCTTGGTAAAAGAGCTGGATCCATGGTATCTGTCTGGTGTGGCTTACTCTGCTACGTTTGCTTGTCACAATAGTATGTTCATCCCCTATTCCTGAGCAACCAGGCTAAATTGATTCTTTCGCTTCCTCGCTGATGACAACACACCCAGACTCCAGGGAGGAGGAACTAGAGTGACCCAGATGCCATGTGTCTATCGTTGAAACTTTCTCCTTTGTTTTCAGTCATAGCTGTCAGCTGTGCTTCTCATTCCCTCTTTTGGTCAGGCCTGTACCCCCCGCCTGTCCCCTGCCATCCTCTCTGTGCTCTCAGACCTCTCATCCTCAAGTCCCTAACATCACATGTTATCACAGCTGGTCCTTAGAGATCGAGCTCTGTTCTAGCGTCCTTTATCAGATGAGGAACGGAAGCCCGGGGAGGCTCAGTGATTTGCCCAAGAACATACTGAGCAGGGCCAGATGGGCTGGACCCCAGGCACTGACCTGACCGATTGGGCCAGTGTTCTCCCCGCTTGCAGCCCCAGCCTGTTCAGCATCCACAGAGTGCATCTAAGTGAGAAGAATGGCTAGCTTTGGCTGGATATCATTTTTAATTTTTGTTTTGTTTATATGTTGATTAATCTTTGGTCAAGTATTTAATACACCACATACATCAGTGTTTAATACAGTAGAGCCTGAGGCAAATGTCATTTGTGGTGTGACTCTTTAGGGCTGTCATCCTCATTAGCTCAGGTTGGCTTGAGGTCATTTGGCTCCCCGTTTCCTGATCCCAGATCACACAGGAGCCTACAGGGCCAGTTTCTCATGTTGCCTGGAGGACTTGACTCTTAGGGTCATATCTATTTTCCTATCAGTGGCTGCCAGACCCACAGTGCCCTGTTTACTGGTGAATGTGTCTGTGGAACCATCCTTTGGCATGACTTCCTGAGGTTGTTGCTGACTGTGGTTCTTCTTCCCACTTTCCTGTTATCAGCCTGTTGCAGAGGCAAAGATTCCTGAGAAGAAGGCCACGCCATCCAAGCCGGCCACGCCATCCAAGCCGGCCACGCCATCCAAGCCGGCCATGCCATCCAAGCCGGCAGCCTCTGCCCCAGTCTTGAGGCCTGGCTCCAAGAGCACCCAGACTGTTCCAAAAGCCACAGCAGCTGCCTCTCTTGCCTCAGCTGGGCCGAGCAGTAGGAGCAGCTCCATGGCCCTGCCCAAGAAGCCCGCGGGTCAGTGTCATCATCCTTCCCTCCTGTGGGAACCAGTGGGGAGGAGAGTGGGGCTGTGCCCCAGCCATAGCTCCAGCCAGCTGCACGTAGAGCTGTCAGACCTGCCTGTGCATCTCGCCTCAATGGGGCACACTGAAAGTGGAGCCTTGCTCTCCATGCGAGGTTAGCAGATTGGTACACTCAGAAAAATCTTGAGTAAAGGGGACTCTGATGAATTCTTAGGGTCTGCACAGCACCCAGCATGTTATGGTCATGGGCTTCGTGATAAGAACTAGGCCACTCAGTTCCATAGGCGTGTTAATCACCCACTTCTAAGCCCATGTGGAAGGTATTATCAAGACTGTGGAAAGGAAGACGCAGTGCCTGGCCTTGTACCCTGCATCGGGCCTGGTCTTTACATGGGTACCTGATGCACTGCTCTATCCCCAGAGACCAGCAAGCCCTGGCTTAGAGGGGACATTCGGTAACTGTTGAATGAATGAATGAATCTCAGAATTGGATGAGCCATTCAATAAGTCTGCTTGTTAAACGGTATGTCAAAAAGTGTCTGTTTGTGATGCAGGGATCAAGACTGAGGGAAAACCCACAGATGTCAAGAAGACCGTTACAAAGTCTGCACCAGGTAATAGCCCACCCCCGCTTTGTGGAACCCTAACCTAAATCCCTACCTCTTCTGTGGCTTGCAGGCTCCTTTTTGCTCTCCCCCTGAACGCTTGTTGTCTCTCACTCCTACCGTTGCAGCTGACTTGAGTCGCTCAAAGAGCACCTCCAGCAGTGCCATGAAGAAAAACACCCCTGTCCCTGGGGCAGCACCCCCAGCAGGCGTGGTACGAGTGAAGCCCACACCCACGTCTCCCCGGCCCTCCGGGACTTCTGCCACGGACAAGAAACCCACGTCAGCCAGGCCTGGCTCCTCTGCCCTCAGGCTGAGCCGCCCAGCTACCGGCACTTCTGCCCCTGATCTGAAAAATGTCCGCGCCAAGGTTGGCTCCACGGAAAACATCAAGCATCAGCCTGGAGGAGGCCGGGTGGGTCCAGGGAGCTTGGCGTCCTCAGCATGTGGGCCCCTGCTTCTTTCCCTGTCACATCCCACCACTGTTCCCTAGGCGTGTCCTCATATCACCCCCAGGAGTGCACCAGAGCGGGGCAGGCAGGACATGGACTCAGTCTCAGGGAGTTTCAGCCTGAGCTCCATGCCCCGGCAGCCGGGAAGGGGTCGCCGAGCTCTGGGCTTTCTCTTCCCATCCGAGTCAGAGGGCTCCTGTTTGTATTTTGGGGTTTAGGCTTATATTTTTGTTTCGAGACAAAAGGGTTCTTCTACTTTACAAAACACAAAGGAGGCCTCTGAGACTGTGAAGGGGAGAGACACTGGACATGAACCCGGTTTGTCATGGCTCTCATTCTGCACTTGGGTGACAGGATAGGCAGGTGAGGTGGGTGGAGAGTCAGAGAGAGGACGAAAGTGTCCTCTGGTGGCCAGGATGACTTGCTGCTGTGACTCCCTGCTGTCCTAAACCGAAGGGCTGCTCTAGAGTGTCATGATGGAGAAGGGCCTGGCAGGCCTCTGTGGTTACGTCCATCCTGGAATTATTAACTGTTATGGGACTTGCTGTGTGAAAAAGGTGGTGGCAAAAGTCCAAGTTCCAGTCCCCGAGCAATGCCCTTCCCATCTCCTATGGCATCTCTAGCACTTAAACCACCACAACCCCCCCAGGCAGTGCGCTTCAGTCCAGAGCTGTTAAAAAATTGAAGAGGGTCTGAAATTAAGCAGAATCCTTGTACTGTTGGAAGACACTGACGGCAAACTGGGATTGGTCTGGATAAGGGCCTGAGAGACTGTGGCTGTTGCGCATCCAGTCAGGCCTCGGGGGCTGCAGGGCAGCTGGCCCATCTTCCCTCTTTCTGTGCTCTTAGGTTTCATGGTGCCAAAGTCGTGGGAGGTCTTGGCGAGTTGTGTAACTCGGTCTGGTGATCAAATGATTTTCTGTTCCCACATACCTGAAGGGTGTGACACTTCTATCTTCAGTAGAGGCTCCCTGTGACCATGGTAGCTTGCTTGGGGCAGATAGAACATTTGAGTGGGAGGGCGTTGTGACTGGTAATGGTAATTGCAACCCACCCTCAGGAGAATCGTTGGTCGAGCCCTCCTGCCTACCTTTTCTTCGTGAATGGTGTCTTGCTCTCTTCCCCACGCCCCAAGACTTTGGCCTGCAGCTCCTCCCTCTGGCTTGGTCTACCCTGGGAAATGGGTGTTTTTTTCCTAGGAGCAAGGGTGACCTGTTTCTGCCTGGTGGCCTGGCCGGGATTTGAGTCCCCAGCATTTATTCCTATTTGGCATTTGGGCTCTGATCCTCCTGGTTTGAAATTTGCCCTCCCTTTATCTCCATCTAGGCCAAGGTAGAGGAAAAAACAGAGGCAGCTGCTGCAGCTCGAAAGCCTGAACCCAGTGCAGTCACTAAAACACCCGGCCCAGGTGCGAGCGTGCAGAAACCGCCTGCGGGGAAAGTGAGTTTTACTGAGACTTTTACCTCTTGAAGGTAAAGATGGTCGACTGTTTCTTCTAGCCTGAGTCACTTTCCCTTCTATTGCCCTTTTTTCCTGTACTTGAACTGGTTTCTCCTTCTCTCCCGTGTGACCTCCTCTGTGTTCGATGACTCAGCCATCAGGAAAAGTTTTGTAGTAATCCTGAAAGTTAACAGTTTGGAGTCCATTAGCCCTTTGGGGAATATTTATTCAGCTGGATAAGATGGATCCAAAACTTTTAGCCACTTCCTTCACACTGACCTTGATCAGAAACCCACCCACTGTGTGTGTGCGTGCGCGTGCGCACACACACACAGTGCACCCAGGCTCTCCCTCAGTAAGACATGACATTGGTAACTTTTCGGTACCTGGAACCCTGGAGCCCCTGTGCCGTCAGTTGGAGGCCCCTCTTGTAACACTGCTGGGTAGGGGGATGGCTTCATTTGTCCTGTTTCCCCAAATCACCTCTTAGCTAAAAGTTAGGATGCTCATTGTAATGGAACCCACCTGCACAGGGGATGCAGCATCAGCTGGAGGGCAGACGAAAGCTGAGCCTCTAGGTTCTTTCCCCTTGCCTCCACCCTGAACCAGGCCTCCTGTTTGCTGCGGGAACCTTCTTCCCTTAGCTGTGCCAGGAAGGTGGTCTCTCTGGCCAGGGGCAGACCTGAGCTCCAGCCTTTAGGAACCATGATGGGTCTCAGCCCAAGGGATTTTTACAGTCAGCGAGGTGAGGAAGCTGCACATGGCTCCTGGGTGACTCTGGGTGGTCCTGCAGGTCCCTGTCAAACCGTGGTTCAGTAGAGAGAGTTTTTCTAACCACTCATTCACCAGTGAAGGTCTAAAGAAGGCAAGAAACAGCGAGGTATTTGGGTCTGAGTTTCTCAGGGTGGATTTCTCTGTTCTGCGGAGAACTCTTCAGTTTGAGAGCTGCGTCATTTGCAGACGGACCTGAAGGAAAGGCAGGCAGGAAGGAAGGAAGCTGGCAACTGTTCCTTCTTGAGAAGGCTCCAGAGGAATTCTTTGTTCCAGTCCTTAGAGCCTGCGCCTTTGTGTGGCTCCATTGCAGGAGAGCCATTTGTGTGCTGCGCCCCTGTGTGCATTGTTGCAGCCCTGCCTGTGCTCTCTGCACACCAAACTCAGAGGGCACAGGATGGCATCTAGAGGACTGAGCCAAAATGAAGTCTCCACCTGAACCCCATTGTGCTGTGTTCCCTGGAGCCCTGAGACAAATGGGCTCCGTGAGAAAGGCCTGTGCTCCCCCTGGTGTCCAGGATTGTGCACGGCAGGCCCAGTGGCCTGTGGTCTGTTGTGTTTACAGCCAAGCATTGTCCCTTCCTTGCCATTAGGATCAGACCTGTGCCCTGTGAGCTAGCTGCCCAGGGCTTTTCCCAGCAGCCTTTGCCTCCCAGAGTGGGTCTGGCTGCAGCAGTTCCAGGCCCCAGATTTAAGGGAAGTGCCATCCTTGGGCGGGGACTGGTCCGGATGAGCAGGACCCTTGCAGAGAGGAGCCATGGGACACTGTGCGGCCCAAGCTCTGGGGAGGAGAGCAGGCAGGGGGCAGAGCGGGGCCATGCCTGGGAGGGCCCTGGGGCTGGCTGCTGTGGGCCTGTGAACCCCCAAGGAGCAGTGATGAAAATGCTGTCATACTTACAACATCTGCTTCTGTCTTTGTGTTGTTTGTTCATGTTTTCACTCCCTTTCCTGCTCCTTCACGTTCCTTCCTCTGCTTTCCACAGCTGTTGGGCTGAAGGTGGGGGCGGAGTTTTAACAACACTCTTCGTTGGCCGCTGTGATCACATGTGGACTCACTGCCTGCCCTGTGTCCGTTCTAACCGGCCCTCTCCCTTTGTGTTGTTTTTTCTGTTCTCTAACACTCCAGGTCCAGATAGTCTCCAAAAAACTGAACTACAGCCATATTCAGTCCAAGTGTGGTTCCAAGGACAATATTAAGCATGTCCCTGGAGGTGGTAATGTAAGTATCAGCTCTGGCGTCTGAGGCACAGTCCCCTCTGGGGCACATGGGGAGAGGGTCCCCTGCCCGAGCTGACAGGCCCACAAAGTGAGGGGAGACCTGGCTGCTCCCAGAGGCTGGGGAGTGCCCCCACGACACCCCACTGACACCCACTCAGCATCTCCTCGGCCCTGTGGGTGGGAGGCCCTGGACTCCCCCAGCTGCGTCAGACCTGGTCTGAGGGCAGCGGCCAGCGGCCAGCAGAGAGCCTGTCACCTGTCCCGAGTCTGCTCCTGTAATGTGCACCTCTGTCTGCGCTCCCCCTGAGCGTGGCGGGGCCCCAGAGTTCTCCAAAGCCCAGCCTAGAATCCTGTTACTGTAGAACCAGCATGTTAAACACCGCCTCCTCCACACACCCACCCCCTCTCCTTGGTTACTCCCCTGTTTCTTCCCTCTTCCACTCCCTCTTCTCTCCTGATCTTCACTTCCCTCTTTCCTGTCTATTCTTTTTTTCCCCCGTTGTTGTTTTTTTTACCCTTTTTCTCGTCCCCACTTTATTCCCTTTTCCCTCCTTTTCTTTTTGTCCACTTCCCTCTTGCATCTAGACATCCTTTCTGTCATGCCTGTCTTCAGTGCTAGCCCTAAGGTCTGTGTTGGGGACGCAGGTGACTCCAGCTCACAGGGAGGTGCTGTCTAGGGAGAGACAGGACCAAGTATCATCGTCGGTGTGTAAGGAACACCCTATGTCTTTTCCATGTGTCCCTGTGACAGAGCACAGGCAAGCGGGACTCTGCAGCGTGTGTGGGCGTGTTAGCAGCCGCAGTCTGCAGTCTCTGCCCTTCGCTGCTTCCCCGCCTGCTTCTCTCCCACCCCCAGCAGCACAGAGAACGCTGTCCCGTCTGCATCCCTTGGTTCACCCGGCTCCCCTTCCTCCCTGTGCTGAGCTGGACTAAGTCCTGCTCCGCTTACCCGCCTTGTTTCTGGACCTGTCCCCTGCCCCTGTGGTGGTCCTGCCATCCCGCCCATGGCCTATAAGCCCCCCCAATCCTGCAGTTCTGTTGTGAGGAATGGAGCCATAGTGCGCCCCTTTTTTGCCCCACTCTGTTCCCCCTTATCGAACCTCCTTCTTAGTCATCTCCCCACCAGTGGCTCCTCCTGGCATGGGCAGAAACCGTGCCCTTTGCTCTCAGGTGGGGTGTGTTTGGCCAGCTTGGTGGCTGGTCAGACATGAGCCAGCCTGGTACAGGATCAGCTGAAATGGGTGCCTGGTTAAGGGGACAAAGATGCAGCCTGTGGGCGCCTAGGTAGGCAGTGGCTCTAGCTTTTTGTCTCCGGCTTTTGGCCTGGATGAAGATAGAAGGTGAGCAGGGACTTTGAGGGAATTGGAACGTGTGCACGCATGTGTATCACACAGAAATGCATGTATGTGTAGCATGGTATATATAAGAGCTCTGAAAGTAATCTTTATCTGTCACCTACTATGGCCTTCATGCTACATACACATGGTATCAATAAGATTTTTTGTGGAGGAATGTACATTTTTTTAGAGCATTTCCATTTTTGGAGGCTTCTGCAAACAGCAGAGCTTTCGGATTCTGCCTGTGAGCAGTGTTAAGGTTGGACGAGGAGGGGAAACAGCCTTGGCTGAGGTGCTGTCGCTCCTCCATCAGCCCCTCCGTAAATCCACACGAATACGCACGCCGTGGAGGGAGAGTGCACCTGCACTGCGGGCAGCGCAGCACTGTGCGTCGGAGCCCCGTCCACCACCACAGCCCCTGCCGTGTAGGGGTGATGGGGTTATTCCCGGGGTGAGAGGCTTGGAACAGGATCCCATTATTGCACCGTACGCCCTCACACATGCGCAGACACAGCCCTTCCTGAGAGCCAGGGGGACGGACGTCAGGAGGGAGCCGAGCGGCCCCTCCTGTGGCTGCCCAGTCTTTAATTTTGTAGCCGTTCTAACTCCATTTCACCCTGGCGAGGGAGGACATGCATGTGTAATGGGCTCCCAGGCCCGCGGGCAATGTCACTTCAGTAGCACATGCTGAGTTTTGCAGTGGGCCTGCGGGATGTCACAGACCAGTGGTGACTGAACACAGCCACGCCGGGTACAGTGGATGTGGGCTTGGTTGTGCACCAGGTGGCTTCTGCTGGCTGCCAGGCTTCACTGTGGAGGGACCATGGGGGCCGGCTCTGGAAACACAGGTCCTAGTCCAGAGAAACAGCACAGAACTCCCTGACACTAGAGTGCCGAGGGGCAGCGAGGAGCCTGGGGATGGGGGGGGTGGGGTGTCTCTTGGCAGCTGATGGTGGGTCCTGCACGTCCCAGCCTGAGGAGGCAAAGTGCGCCTCAGAGGGCATCAGCCTTGTTACGTAAGTGGGACGCAGCGAAGCTTTTTAAAACTTTCATTATAGGAATTTTCAAACATATGCAAAAGCAGAAAAAAATAGTGCAATGGACTGGATGTACCTTTTACCCAGCTTCATTTATTATCTTTGTGGCCAGTCTTATCTCTGTGTGCCCACCCTAATTATTTTGAGACCAGTCCTAGATACATCATTCATCTGTACATATTCTAGTATATAACTTTAGAAGAGAGCTCTTTAATATGCATGTGTGTATATACATAAAAAGCCCCACTAACATGTGAATCAGGTTTGCGTATTTGAGTCAGGATACTAAGGTCCAGAAAGTGGTTGATGTGTGTCTCTTGTCTCTTATAATCTGAGCTTTCATTTACTCTACAAATTACCTGTCGGGGTTTTTTTTTTGTTTTTTTCCACAGTCATGTTTTTCATAAGTAAATTAATTGGTTTGTGCTAGAATCTGGATCCTAATAATTCTGTTCCTGTGGTTTCATTTCACATATTCCTTTATCCCTCAATGTTCTTTACATTGATTCAGGTTTGATCCCCCACATACATTTTTACAAGACTTTCACAGGGATTGGTAATGTTTCTGTCAAGAGGCACATCATGTCTCACTCTTCTGGGCATTTCTGTCTTTGTGATGCTGCCAACTGTTGGTTCCCAGACCCACAAGTTCAGGCGGGGCGCATTTCTTCTGCATTTATTGGCTGGAATACACCTCTAAAGCAAAACGTCCCCTTCACGGGCACACCACTGTCAAGGCCCCACACCCTGGCGAGGGCCCGGCCTTGGCAACAGACTTCCTCACAGGTGGCCTCTGGGACAGTGCGAGGTGAGCTTGCCACCATCGCTGCAGGGCAATTGGATTAAGCAGCCACCACGTGTTTGGCTGGGAAAATGTGCTTCCCTATGGTCCAGCGTAGGGTTAGCCTTGTTGGAACGATGAGACAAAGTGGAGGCTGTTGTTTTGATGGTCGTAGGTGCTCGGTGAATAATTAATAAATCCGTGAAGCAACTGGTGTCCGGTTGTTGCTGATGTCCATTCAGGAGATGACGTGCAGGAGAGATGGGCTGAGGCTACAGCTGGGGAGGGTGTTGGGGAGGGCGGCCTTCGAGCTGGGCCTTGAAGGATGGGAGGAGGATGGCTAACGATGGTCAGCCTCCCATTAACACTAAGGCGGCCAAGGTGAGGGTCCTTTGATACTTCGCAATTAATTTTTGCACACGCAATTAGAAAAAGCCACTGTAAAATTAGGCTGAATGAATGGAAAGAAAATCATTAGAAACTGTCTCAGAACTTAAAAAGGCTGCCTCCCCTAAGCTAAAATGTAACTATGTAAAAGGACTTACTGAAAAGAAAAAAAAAAAGTGTGGCTGGCTCAGGCAAGCTGATGGTTCTGGGAGGTTACTCTGCCAGGCGCTGGGCTGTGGGTGGGAACCCAGAAATACAGTAGGCACCGCGTCCGTCCTCTTGGAACACAGTAGACACCATATTTCCTGAGGCTGAGAAAGGAAGACACGGTCCTACAAGGCCGCCGCTGAATTGTGTTGTGATCAAGCTCCCCAGGAGGTGTGGCACCTGTGGCAGGGCTCTGTGGGCCACTGCAGAAGGAGTCAACAGAGGCGGAAAGCCAGGCTCTTCTACAGTTAGGTGCTGCTGCGTTACTCTCAGGAGCCCTGGAGTCCCCATCCAGGAACCCAGCAGGAACATGACATCTGTAGATGTCATTTCCTGATTGAAAGACATGCCATCAGGCCTGGCACCCAGATGTTTTTCCATGGTTCCTGCAGGGCAGACGTTGATAAGGGTCTGTTGGCTATATTAACATACATAAGTTTATCTATAGATAGGTAGATATCTGCGGTCAGCCAGGAGGGGAAAATGCACTGAAAAAAAAATGGAAGGAAATAGTCCAGTTTATCCCTGGGCCAAGTTGATGGGTAAAATTTGAGGTGGAGCAGAATGCACATTTCAGGAGATCTGCATCCAGAAACGGGAGGAGAGCTGTCTAGCGGATGCACGGATAAGATCAAGAAGGGAAGGCCTGCGAGTGTGTGGAAATGTTGGTTTGGTCTGGCTGATGGTGGGGTCAGAGCTACAAGCAGGGCCAGGATGGATCAAGGGGTCTTTTTAGCATTTTGGGAGGTGACCCTGACTTTGAATGGACTTTTGAATAGGAGCTTACAAAGGGAAGGAAACAACTTGAATGTGGAGAAGAGGATATAAAGGGAACGTGGGTTTGCCCTGACAATGTACCCTCTCTCTGAGGCAATACGATTTTGGTGTTTTCTTCTCAGGTTCAGATTCAGAACAAGAAGGTGGACATCTCAAAGGTCTCCTCCAAGTGTGGGTCTAAGGCTAACATCAAGCACAAGCCTGGTGAGTGGTGTCTCCCTGGCCCCGGGACGCCGGGGCGTGTGGCCCTGCCATGGGCCGGCAGGGTCTCATCCCTTATTCCTATGTCATTCCATAAAGATCCCTGGAGCCACCCCCACCTAGGATACAGCGCAGTCCTCAGCCCCTGTCAGTGAGGGGGGGTCAGGGCGCTGACCTTTTAGTGGGAGGAGGAAGTAGCAAAGGCTGCCATTTGCACGGGCATCGTCTTGACCTGCTGTGCGTGGTGCTGCTGACTGAGGCCTAGGGGAGAGGTGTGCTGCCGGCTGAGCAAGCGTTCCAGGAGCTGATGTTGGAGGTCCAGAGAGCAGGGCTGCACCGGCCTGTCAGACTCAGGAGCAGAGGTGTTCCCGCAGTGCACTGTCAGCCACCGGCTCTGGCAGGATAGAGTGCCTGCCGCTCAGTGAGGCCGCCTTGGCCACGAGCATGGATCTCACAGCCGCAGGGTGCGGTTTGCTGCCAGCCCCAGAGGCTCTGGGCATTTGGGCTGTTGGCAGAGCAAAGCCTGTGCTCCAGCCTCAGCTGTAACCCTGACAGCCTTTTGTGTCCTGCCTGGCTCGCGGGTCCACAGCAGATTTGGGATCGGGAGGTACCGCTGCAGCCTCAGGCATTGGCTGGTAGGTGTGGCATCTCAGAGGTCAGTCACCAGGGGCCAGTTAAGGGGAAGGCCAAAACTCCCTTCCCTCTCCGCAAAACTGTCGTCCGAACAATTCAGCCCTTAACTAACTTCCTTTTCCCCCTTTTACCTGGAAAATCCACTCTTGGGAGACCCCTCCTTCCTTAGTGACGCTGAGTGACCTGAGGTCGTTTTTCATGGGGGGCTAGGACTCCAGTGTTCAGGACACCTGGAGATTTGGCAGGAAGCCGGGTGTTGAGGTTTGTGACGGGAGCTGAAAGGAGATGGGAGAGTGAGAGACCAGCTCAAAGGGGAGCCGAGGGGCTGGGCGGCGGTGAGGGCAGGCTGGCCCTGAGCCCACGGCCACTCTGTGGCCCACGATCCTGGGTACAGGCCGCTCCCACCATACCCCCACCCAAGCACCCTGGGTCCTGGGGCTGGACTGGCCCTTTCTCAACTTGGGCCTGAGGCCCTTTGCCGTCTCTTCTTTCACTACAGTGTGATTTGGTTTACTGGCTCAGACGGCCCTATTTCCATCCTGTCTCAGTCCGTCGCTAGCTTGACAGTGACTTTGGGCAAATCACTTCTTTTTTCTAGCATCAGTGCTAGCAGCTGTAAAACAAAGACCCTGACCTTGATGGACAGGGAGTTTGTGGGGCTGAAAGGAGGCTGGGGCACACTACACAGCCCGTCAGTTAGAGGGAGTTGTCACACTGCCCGAGAACCAGAAGCAGAAGCGCACCTGGCACTTTTAGAGGCTCACCCTGGAAGCCACGCTCTGCACTCTGCGCCTGCCCAGCCTGGTCAGCAGCTGCGTGGGCTGTGGGCTGCCATGGTGAGAGGATGCCTCCTTTTCTATGGAGCTATTCCCTCTGGCTGGATGGAGAGATGGTCTCAGTCTGTCTGAGAAGAGCAGCCCTGTTTCGACAAACATGTTCACTGTGCCTCATCTGTCCTCAGAGCCACAGGGAGCAGGTCACGTTTTCCCTATTTTTGTACTGGGCACTGAGCCAGTCCCTGACCAAGCTAGGGTTCCTGTCCAGGCGCCTGCTTTGCCTGCAGAGGTTTTTCTCTGCCACCTTTAGTGACTGATGCCTTTTTGGTGCCAGGTGGAGGAGATGTCAAGATTGAAAGTCAGAAGTTGAACTTCAAGGAGAAGGCCCAGGCGAAGGTTGGATCTCTCGATAACGTGGGCCACCTGCCTGCAGGAGGTGCCGTGAAGGTAGTGAGTGGGTTGCGGTGGGGACGCAGCAGGGAGGGGTGGGGTGTGCAGTGGAGTCTGGGTCCCAGCAGGTGGGTGCTGTCACCGCCCCTCGGTATCGTCAGGAATCATGTTTCCTCCTCACCGTTGCTGTTTTCTCATCGTCTATCATTAGTCCTGGGCAAGGCAGGAGAGGCGGAGAGGCCCGGGTTGGAGACAGCCTTCTCCTGAGACCCATGGCCCGCCTTACTTTTTGAGCTCATCTCAGCCATTCTCAGGGGGACTGTGGGCTGGGGCGCAGGGCACCACAGGACGAGCGGTCTGCATGGTACAGTTGCCCTCACCCATCCACACCCTGAAAGGGGAGTGTGGGCACATGCCTCATGTCAGGCTCCGCTGCAGGCCCCGGGGCAGAAGAGCACATGTTCCCCTGCCTGTGTGGCCGGGCTCGGGAGAGCGCTTGCTCGAGGGACTGGCTGGGCCTCTCCTCCCTGCCCCTTCTCCTCCCTCCCTCCTTCCACACTCCTGCAAGACCCTGTGTGCCGAGATGCTGTCTGTCCTCTGTTCCATGTCATCGGGGGTATGGGGCCGTGGGGCAGCGTCCAGCAGGCTTCCGTGCTGAGCAACTGAGGGCCCTTCCTCTGACATCTGAGCGCCCCGCGCTGGGCCACCCTGTTGTCCTACCCTCCCTCAGTGCTGACTCAAGCCCTCACCAGCCTCCATGAATGTTTTGGGGTCCTGGCTGTGTCACAGGCTCTCGGTTCATGTCCCCACACCGCTCTAGTCTGTCTCCGAGGAGTACTGGCTCGGATGTAGTTACTTCTCCAAGGCCACACTGCAAGCGTGTGCACACCAGGGTTCACACCTGGCCTTTCGGACGCCAAGTCTTGTGTTCTTTTTTTTCATTCACTTTATCTCTCTTTCTTTATTGTTTCTGGAATGATCTATTACTAACTGGCGGTATTGCTGAGATGGTTCCTCAGCTTGTCGCTAACCTTTTGCTGTCTTATTTTTATTGGGTGTCCGCCTTGTGGAGAAGTCTGGCACCTCTCACCTCAGAGAGGTTCCCGGAAGCCTCGCACTTCACAGAAGAAGCCCCCAGTGTCACTAGCCAGGAGTCGTTCTCATGGGTGGGGGCGGGGTGGGGAGCACGTGTCTGTCCAGATTCTCCCCCTTAACCAAGGGGGCGGGGGCTGCGTGTAAGAGCCACCACCATCACCCCATCCCACTCCCTCTTGGACTGACCCTGCACTGTCTCCCCCACTGTTTCATTGTAGACCGAGGGCGGTGGCAGTGAAGTCCCTGCGTGTCCGGGCCCCCCTGCTGGGGAGGAGCCTGCCATCCCTGAGGCAGCGCCTGAAGCTGGCGCCCCCACTTCAGCCAGTGGCCTCAGTGGCCACACCACCCTGGCAGGGGGTGGTGACCAAAGGGAGGCCCAGACCTTGGACTGCCAGATCCAGGAGACAAGTAAGTGGCTGGGCTTGGCCTGAGGGCCAGCCAGGGGCCCTGCCACTGGCTGCAAATTGAAACTCCTTTGTTTTCTGACTAGAGTGTGGCCTAAATTTTTAACGGAGCAACCTTTTATTTTCCAGGCATCTAATGATGACATTCTGGTCTCGTCTTCCGTCCCTTTGTTCCCCCTCTTGTTCCCCTCTCCCTTCCCTCCTCCCGTGTCACTGCAGATTGAGACCTACAGGCTGACGTTCCGGGCAAACGCCAGGGCCCGCACCGACCATGGGGCCGACATTGTCTCCCGCCCCCCCCACTTTCCTGGCGGCCCCAGCTCAGGCCCCCGGGCCCTTGGGCTGCTCACTAGACCTGTGACCGCTGGGGTGCTGGGCAGCCCTCTGGGGCCCTCCCTCTAGGGCCCTCCCTCCCGTCTCACTTGCCCAGGGCAGCAGCAGTCGCCCCCACACCTCCTTCCACTCCCTGCCCCAAGCCCAGTCCTTGCTTTGCTCCTGTCCCATCATCGCATCCCTGCTCCAGGGAAGGGTCTGGGGGGTGAGGGAGGGGCATCGGGGGGAGGCTAATCTGGGGTCGGGTGTGTCTAAGAGGGGGGACCGGATTCCAACCTCTTTGTTTGTTTGGGTTTTTTTGGACCAAGCCCAAGAGAAACTGACATACCCACCCTCCTTGCTGGGTCCACCTGGAGGGAAGAGTGGAATTGGAATGTCCACGTGATCGCCCGGCCCTGACTGCATCCCCTGGAGCCCGCTAAGCCACTGCCTCTCCCTTTGACCCCACAATGGTGCCCACCACGTGGGTGGTGCCAGACGCCTCTTGCCACCCTGCCCCACATTAGTTAGGGGTCAATGCTGCCTGTCCCCGCTGCTTCCCATACCTGCCTAGCTGCTGTCATACATTTTCTTCCTTTTATCCCTTTTTAATAACCTAAAAACTGGTGGAGTAGTTTTGCAGGTTAAGTCATGTCTAAATGAAAGTCCTCAGCAGGTGTTGCAGGAAACAGGGAAGGGAGATCCTTAAGCTCCAGCCTGGAGGTCAGGCACTGGGGGCTGCCCTGGTGGCGTCAGCTCAGGCCCTGGATGTGGTGTGAGCAGGGCAGGTGATATGTGGGGGCTGTGGCCTGGTGGGCAGATAGGGCACGCTAGGGGCTACTCAGAGTGTGGACTGGTTGTTCTGGTATTTTGTGTGTATGCTGCTTTTCTTTTCTAACCAAGAGGCTGGTTTTGGCATCTCTGTCTCATTCCTGGGATCTGGTGGGAGAGACAAGGTCAGAGTTGGGAAGGGCCATGGAGGTCAAAATCCTGCATGCTTGCAGGCCTAGAGCACTCTACCCTTAGCTACCAGGGAGCCTGAGATGTCCAGAAGTCATGCGGGTAGTGGGGAATCAGGTCTGGAAATTTAAAAATAAAGGCATAAGACTGAGGCCGTCCCACATCCCTGAGAGTCTGACTAGGGAGGGGGGAGGGGAGGCGAGGCCAGCCTGCGGAGCGGTGTCTTAGTTAGGCCTGCTCTTGGGGTGGCTGCAATGAGGAGACATCCCGGGAATCATATTGGCATGAAGATCTTACTGCACTTGTATTTTTTGTATTAAAGTTTGCATGGTTTCTAATAAAGGATTAAAACCTACCGATTTGTAGTGACATGGCCTGGGAGTTTAGGCCCCTCTAGATGCACTTTCTACAGTATGGACATGGCCCCCCGCCCTCTGCTCCTGTCCCCACACTGAGAAGGTAGGGGCTGGTGACATAGGTTCTGGTTTTACCTCCATGCGGATGGGAGCAACTGGGTTGGGGGGGGCAGGTCTCCCCATTTCTGAGGTAGCATTTCCCTGGGGAGGTTGGCCACCACAGCCCAGCGCCGAGCACACACCAGGAAGTTGCAGGTCTTGTGGAGAAAGTGCTTCTGGCGCCAGACTGTCTTCAGGATGCGAGCTCAGGGCACCCATGTCCTGTCAGCAAGAGGGGCGAGATGAAGCAGTCGGGGTCGGGTGTGGAGACAAGGGTGACAGTGCGGGGCCTACAGGTACCTGTGCCCTCCCTGTGATCCTGGGCCACAAGGATGCTGCGGATGACAACAGGCTCCTCGTCCTGTCACTCCTGTAGAGAAGGGTTGGCGTGCGGGTGACCCAAGCAGAGCTAGCTCTCTGGGTGGCCTGGTCACAACTCCCTGGAAGGGTCCCACAAGCCAAAGGCTGAGGTGGCTGCCCTGATGGGTGAGGACCAGAAGCCCATTGCTGTATACTTCTCTGCGGCCATCTGGGGGTGGGACGTTTCTCTGTATGGCCTGATTTGCTTATGGTTCAGCCACTACCCGTGCCAGTCTGATTCTGTTTGTAATGATTTCAAGAGTAAATAAAGCTCGTGATGTCCCAGCATGCAGGCCCTGTCTTCTGTATGTCCTCGCTTGTTTCTACTCCAGCACCCATGCCCCCGCCCCCTACCCTTGTATTGAAGGACTAGTGTGCACTGTGCAGTCCTGATGACCGCAGCTCTTCATCTGTGAACACGTGGATACGACCAAGGGACTGTCCAGCTTTGGCTGGGCTGCCACACAACTGGAGGCCCCTTGAGGGTTAAGGTCCAACCCTGTGGTTGCCTGTGGGTGGCAGCCGGACTGAATGAACACACACACTGGGCCAGGGAGACCCAGGAAGGGGCTGCTCAACACTTGCTGTCCCAACCTGCAGGGACAGTGAATTGACAGGCTGCCAGTGGTGGAGGTACCCAGAGGAGCAGCTGTGACAAGGACGGGGCTGGCCCAGCACTGCAAGACTGTGAAGGGCACTGGTTCAAGATTAAGAGCAGGTCTAAGCCACTTCCTCCCTTAAGACAGCACTTCCGCTTTCTCTCCATTTGGGGACCGTGGCCCACAGCCCAGGGTGCCGAGGCCCGAGAGGAGCCCCCGGAGGATAGCAATGCTCACAAGGGATAAATAGAACTTTATTTTAAATAAACATTTGCACTCTGTACACAGCCCCAGCGGCCCAGGGCTCAGTCGTCAGCCGACTTGCGCACGTCAAAGCTGCCACAGGGTCCCCGCAGCAGCTCGGCCAGCAGGGCCAGCAGCCGCCCATGCTCCTGCTGCACTGGGAGTGGCAGTGCGGCCAGCTCGCTGCGCAGGCTGCGCTCCACCATGCGGCCCAGGGCCCGGCGCAGCTCCCGCAGCAGCCGCACCGTGCGCGAGTCACCCTCCAGCCTCAGCAGGTCGCTGTCGCTCAGTGAGATGGTGGCCCGGCGCCCATCATCTGCGGGAAAGGAGAAGATGGTGGGGAGCCACGGTGAGGCCAAGCCCTGAAGACAGCCAGCCGGGCACAGCCGTGGGGTGGGAGGCACGCGGCACCCACCACGGACGTGGACATCCCCGTCAGTCAGTAGCAGCACAGCCAGCGGGTGCACCTGGGACGAGTCCCGCACGAAGACGCTGCCATTGGACTTGACAGCCATGAAATACGTCAGCCACCGGCTCCGTAGCCGGGTGGCCTCCCTGGGGAATAAAGGGCTGGGTGAGGCCACTCTTCTGGCCCATCCTAGCTGTCCCACCCGGCCTGCGTGCAGCCCCACCTGTTAATGGTCGATTTGTGCAGCAAGATGTTGCCTGATTTGGTCCTGTATGTGACACTGTTGGGCTTGAACTTGCCCTGCCGGGTCACCTTGCCCTGCCTCACCTGCAGAGATGGAGGACAAGATGGGTGGGCTGAGCAAGGCCCTGGGGTCGGGAGGAGGCTGCGGCCATCACCCCCCACCCCCACCCCTCGAGGCAGTACCTGGATGAGGTTGGGGTAGAGACCCGCCATCAGCACACCCTTCACCAGCTCCTCCTCCTCACTGTACTCGTTGCACTGGGCTGAGGCCAGTGTGCAGTCCGAGGGCTTCCCCACCAGGAAAGCCTCATAAATGTTCTCGGAGAACTGCTTGATGAGTCCTGGGGAGGCAAAGTCAGGGTGAACCCAGGACCTCAGGGTGGCTGGGAGGGCGAGGGGCTCGAGATGTGCGTGGGGCCTGCTGACCGTGGATGAAGCGCAGGCTGGGCGCGTAGAGCAGGTTCTCCTCCAGGTAGTTTTCCCGGGAGCTGCGGTCCTGCCAGCGCAGCACCTCCTCCCAGCCGGCCACGGCCCGCACAAAGGCCAGGTGGTCACTGCCGCTGTCATGGCTCAACAGTGCCTTCACCTAGGGGAGTTGGGGACGGGCTAGAAGCGGCCACCTCAGAACAGAAGGTGGTGGAGGGCTGCAGGGGAGCGCCAACGGGCCACAGGCAGGGACTGGTCTGACCTTGTCCACCTCCGCTCGGTTCTGCAGGCTGCTGCTGAAGGGGTCCCGGGTGAGGCAGGAGACGACCACCAGCAGCGGGTGCAGACAACGGAAGATGGCGGCCAGCACTATGGCCTTGGCCAGCCGGGGGTCGGTGGAGATGTGGGCCAGGCGCTGCCCCAGGGTGGTCAGGTACTCCCGCTGGTCCAGCACCCCTGCAACAGCCCAGCGGTCAGGCACGCCCTTGAGAGCCACTCCAGCGGGCCCCAGCCCCGCCACTCACCAATCTCCTGGAGCAAGATCACGGCCTCATCCACAGCCTTAATGTTCGGACTGTCCACAGCTTTTGAGAGGAACTCCACTGCCTGCAGTGAAACAGCCCCGTGAGCCTGCGTCTCACCTGCCACCCCAAGGCCTGCCGGCCTGCCCACCGTGCTCCTGCCGCACCGTTTTCTCTGGCATGTGGATCTTGGCCTGCAGCACCAGGTTCTCGAGGGGTGTGCGCAGGATCTCTGGCACTTGGAAAGGGACCATTTTCTCCAGCCGGCTCCGTGGGAACAGGTGGTAGGCAAAGCCTGACTGGCAGCGGCCTGCCCGGCCCCGGCGTTGGATCACATTGGCTCGTGACACCCACACTGTCTCCAGGCAGGACACCTGGGGGAGGTGGCAGGAGAGCAGTGACACAGATGCCACAGGACTTCCTCAGTGCTCCCCCATGCCTGGCCGTCACCTCACTTAACCCCTCAACAGCCCCACACCAACAAGGACACTGAGACCCCAAAAGTGTGGCCTCCAGACACACATGGCAGGTCCAAGGCCGATCTGGGACAGGCGCCACCTAGGAACTGGGAGTTCTTCCCCTGGGGGCTGCGGGGCCCAGGAGATGGGGGTGACCTCGGAACTGGGAGTTCTTCCCCTGGGGGCTGCGGGGCCCAGGAGATGGGGCCACCTTGGTCTTCAGGTCATAGCGCTCCTCCTTGTGCAGACCGCTGTCTACCACGTGCACAATGTCATTGACTGTGATGGAGGTCTCGGCGATATTGGTGGCCAAGACAATCTTGCGCACCCCGGCTGGTGGCTGCTGAAATATGGCCTTCTGGTCCATCATAGGGACGTTGGAGTGCACTGGAGGACAGCAAGCACAGCTATGGTCATGCTCCAGCCGCAGTCTCCCGTTTGATCCCATTTTCCCGAAAGTGAGGCCCAGGTCAATATGCCCAGGAAAGGCTGCAAAGCCAGCACCCAGGCCCCATGAGTCCCGTTTGGGTCGGTCCTCAGGCCGAGAGCATGTGGGCGTGTGGGTGCTGTGAGGCCCTGCGCACGGGCTCACCTGGCAGGATGAGGTACTTGCTCTCGTGAACACCCAGGGCCTCCTGCAGCCGCTGCTGCACTCCTTTGATCTCTTGCCAGCCAGGCAGGAAGCAGAGGATCCCACCTGTAGAGGCAGCTGCAGGTATGAGCGTGGCTCTGGGCACCTGGGGTCGGGGTCAGGGCGGGCACGCGTGGGGGAGGCACCCACCTGGCTCCCCGCGGGCATCGATGTGCAGAACCAGGTCAGTGACGAGGTCTAAATCCAGTGCACATTCGTCCTCAGACTGGGGTGGGGAAAGAGAGGCCAGTCACAGCCCCAGGGTGAGGGGTCATGTACAGGACAGGCCGCCGTGACTGAGTCCGAGGAACCTAACATGTCACCTGCAACCCTCACCACACCCCTGCCACAGGCCCGATCATTCCTGTTTCTGTGAGAAAACCAAGGCTTGGGGAGGGTACCTCGCCCCAGGCCACCATGCCACAGGGACAGGGAAGGGCAGCCACGGGGTCAAGGCCAGGAGCCTTGGGAGGAAAGGGGTGAGCGCGTCCTCACCTCGTGGTGCCGGTGCCGGTGCGGGTACTGATGCTTGCCCAGCTTGGCCAGGATGTCCTCCAGGTAGTGCTCCTTGACAGGATACATGAAGCCGGGCACCTTGATGACAGGGCAGCCACCGAAATAGCGGGAGAAGCGCTCGTTGTCGCCTGTGGCGCTCATGAGCACCAGCCGCAGGGCCGGGTTGAGCCGCTGCAGACCCTTGAGCAGAATCAGCAGGAAGTCCGTGTTCACGTCCCGCTCATGCACCTCGTCCACGACTACGTGGCTCACGCCCTCCAGGCTGGGGTTGCCCTGCAGCTTGCGCAGCAGGATGCCCACCGTGCAGAAGAGCAGGGCCCCGCCCCGGGCCGGGGGCTTGCTCTCCAGGCGCACCTGGAAGCCCACATTCCGGCGCATGGAGGGTCCCAGCTCATGGCTGACCCGCTGGGCCACGGACACGGCCGAGATGCGGCGCGGCTGCGTGATGATGACGTTGCAGCTGGCGCCTCGGCCCTCGGTCACATAGCGCTCCAGCAGCAGCTGGGGGATGCGCGTGGTCTTCCCACAGCCCGTGTCCCCAGAGATGACCACCACCGGGTGCTGCTCAATGGCATTGAGGATGGTGTCCCGATGCGGGTCCACAGGCAGCTGCGGGACCTCCTGCCAGACAGGCCCTCGCCGCCGCCACAGCTCCAGCAGGTTCTGGCTCAGACGCACCTCCTCTGCCTCTGACAGGGGCACGTAGGGTTTGCCTGTAATGGGGTCACTCAGGGGCCCGGAGTCCTTTCCCAAAGGTAAGATGTCATCGCTCTGCAGCCGGAGCTCTGGGGAGATCCAGGAACTGTCCACGGGGTACTGGGTGGGGGACAGGAGAAGCAAGCAAAACGGTGAAAGAGACACCTTCCTCCTCATTTGCACCCAGCTCCTCTCCACGTGACTCACTGGGTCACGTTGTGGCCCAACCCCCTGGGCAGATGACAGTCCATGACTGCACCCTGGGACCCTCGTGGGCAAAGCTGGGCTGCTCGGGGCAAGGGCTTTCCCAGGCTCCATCCTCAGTGGGGGAACGGAGAGTTACTACTCCTGTTGCAGTCTGGAGAAATGGAGGCAGGGATGGGAAGGCTCCTCTTACCTGGTTCAGAAAGGTCTCTATCTTGCGGAGGATGGGCTCAGGCAGCTGGATGGTGCACGGCCGGCGCTGGGTCTCTCCAAGCTCACGCAGGGAGGCCAGATTATACATGGCGTGGGTGAGTGGCTCGTTGTTCCGGTCCACCAGGCCCAGGCTCTGTGGGGGGACACACACGGCTCGGTCTGCCCGCCTCCCAAGAAGTGGCCCAGGCAGGTTAGGAGCTCCAGTGGGAAGTTGTGCAAAGCAACTGCTTTCCTAAGATTTTGGGTTTTGGCTGACATGACGCAGGACGGAGAAATGAGGAACCAGGAAAATGTAAATCTCCACCAAAAAAAGAAAACTAGTTAAAACTAATGTAAGAAAAGCAAAGCCTGACGTGTTCGAGCAGAACAGCCTCAAACCTGACCAGGGATGGGTGTGCCCCTGAGAAGCTTCCTACAGCAACTGGAGCCCCCAAAACAGCCCATCTCACCTCCACAAATTGCCAACACGAACCTGTAAGGCAGGTGGGCCAGGCCCTTAGCGACCCTCTGACACAGCGCACAGGCTCCCTCTGCCTCCGCTGCCTCACTGAAGCCCACCCGCCTCCTGTCTGCATGGCGCCTGTTCCATCTGTGACCCCATCATACAAACGGACATAGCGTTCCTATTTATGTGGCTCAATAAAATAAGCCACTGGAAGGGAACCACTGCATCCTACTTCCTACATGCCCAAAGCCACCTCACCAGAGATAACACCTCAGTAAAGTGTAGTCTTATGTCCCTATCACCTGTAATGTCTGAATTCTAATCGCCCTCTGAAGCCCAGATCAAACACTCCTTCCTTCAAGTTCACCCCTGCAGGGACCAGCGTCCTTCCTCTGGCCTCATGGCAAACCTCGAGGACAGGGATCTAGTCCCTGGACAACAGGAGGTGCCAACACAGCCAGTTGCTGCAGGCGAGGCTTCCGCCTTTCCCAGGATGGCAAGAGTTTACTGGCAGCCGCTCTGCCCGGCAGCCAACCCGCCAGTCGCTGCCGGCTTAGGGCTGCTTCCCAAGACAGGACTCCCGGAGCTGCTTGTGCCAGTCAAGCTAAATTCAGACCCCCTCCAAGTTCTCCCAGTGAGCCCTAGTTCTGCCCGAGTCAGTGGTAATACATCCATTTCCTCTTCTGTCACCACCTACCCATCCCTGTTCCTCTTCTGTTCTCCAGGCTCTCATTAGCTCTCACCATCAGCTGTATCTAAAATCAGGTTCACAGTGCCAAACATGCACCGCTCAGAGTAAGGCAGGGCCTTGAGCCTCTTGTTCTGCAAAGTAAACCTCTAGACGTGGGTTCAAATCACTGACTTCTCAGGCAGTTATGACAAGGCTAACTCCCACTGCTGGGGCATCTGCTGACTGCCAATGTCCCTTTGAGGGAACTGCTGGCTGCAGGCCACTGCCTTCGCCTTGCCATGCTTTGCCTCATCAGTTCATCCTGGATAAATGTCTCATTACTCGTTTTGGCCACAAAGTCCAGGTTTTCAAGATCTTTCTAGACACCGAGCCTTCCACTCAACACGAGCGCCATCTCTCCAGGTTTTCACCATCCTCAATGAGCGTGTCTCCTGCTAGCTTCACCCAGGTCCTGCCCACAGTGCTGAGAAGGCTGAGGTCACAAGCCAAGCCCTTCCAGAGGGACTGTGGCAAGTCCTGGAGACAGCAGCCATAGCCTGCCAAGCAAGGCTTGGACCCCAGGTACTTCCTTGGCCAGGCCAAAGCCTGGTACGGTGGCTTTCACTTCCTAAAAACGTGGACCCATTTGCCAAGGGTAGTAGGGAGCACCGAGACAGCTCACGCTTCATACCAGGGATCCTCCTGGACTCACCTTCAGTTTCTTGCAGGCCAAGGCTGCCGCCTTATTCTCAGCCTCTGCTTTGCGGCGCCCTTTGGCAACAAAGGTCATGGGGCAGGGCCAGAGCAGGGTGAGGGTGGACAGCTTGGTCTTGGTGCCCACAGTATGGAACTGCATGAGGTTCTATAGGGAAGGCAAGAGAGGTGGTTGTGAGAAGGCAGACAGTGACCACATCTGCGGCATTCTCAGAACGCCAGGGAACCCGGAGATGGAATTAACTCCCAGCTCAGCATGTGCCAAACACCAGCCACATGACAAGTGCCACTGTACAGTCACACAGAAGAGATACAAGCCCCCACTCCTGGCACCTGAACTAGCTTCTCCTGTGCTGTGAGTCACAGCCGAGGACGGTGTCCCGGCAATGGCACTACCTGCCCTCCTAATCTACTGTCCTCTCAGCACCTTCAAGGCAAACAGCTGTGCTGGCAGCTGTGTGTTAAAAACCAGGCACATCCTGGGGAAGCAACAAGGTCCGCACCCAGAGAGAATATCTGCTTAACCAGAGCCTTCAGTGGGCAGCAAAGATGAAATTCACGCTTCAGCGACACAGCTGCCCACACCCCAACCCCTCCCTCCCTGTCCGCCACGCCTGAACAGATATGGGTCTTCCACTCCCACACTCCCCAGCCCACTCCCTGTGCTCCTGTAGTTTGACTTCCATTCTGTCTTCACTGCTCCACTCTGCAGGAATCCCCACCCCAGCTGGCCTAGGTGTGGGCTGGGCGAACAGGCGACCTCGACCCTGCCATACACCTGTAGTTTCCCTCCTACCTGGTCTTGGGGAAAACCAGACACAACCGAGCCAGCTCCCACCCACATGCGCTTTCAAGGAGACCAACTCACCTTAGCTGTGGAGGACGACGTCGCTATCTGAATCACCTTGGCCAGAAGGTTCTTGGGAAGCGGAAACTGGGTCAGAGCCCTAATAGCACTGTCATCGTCTGTCATTTCAAGGGAACCCCCCCTGGGAGGACCAAAAGTTTAGGTGAAAAAGCTCTATCTTTTTCCGGGCCAATTTTACCGCAGGCTCTGAGACCCAGGGGGCAGACACTGAGTTATTACAGCAGGCAGCCAGGAGGCCCGAAAAAGACGGCCGACTGGGCATCTCTGCTTGGCCGGCAACCCTCTGACACGCAGCATGCCTGACGCTCCCTCAGTTCCCCCAAACACATGAGGGAAGGGGGAAGGCAGAGTGGTTGCTGGGCCTCTGAGGGACCCAAGTGTACACGCTGCTGTTTTGCCAAAGCCCAGCCACACGGTACAAGACCACAGCTGGCTCTCCCCCGAGAACGGGCAGATGGACTGGTGAGTAATGGGGCGCACGGGGAGATGTGGGGCAAGGGCCCTCCAGTCTCAGAGAAGGCTCGAGGGAGCATCGCCCCACTCCCACGTCACAGTGCGGCCAGCTCCCCCTGCACCCCGCCCCTCGCTGTACCTGAGCGGGGTGTGGGGGTCCTGCTGGGTCATGGACAGGAAGTCAGTGACATCGATGGTCCCCTCTTCTAGCTCTTCCTCCTCATCTTCCTCTTCCTCTCGGCCCAAGGAGCGGGATAGGCCCCCAGGGCCCCCTGGCCGGATGCTCTCGGGATTCAGCTGCCGCCAGGAAGTGGGTGGCATGGTGGGTTCTGGGCGCCACCAGCTGTCAGCCGGAGAGCCAAAGCGGTCGGCTAGCACGCGGTATTTGGCTGCATCAAACAGCTCATTCCGGGGACCCAGCAGACCCCAGCCCTGGGGGGAAAGTGGCGTTGTGAGGGTCTACACCACCCTCACACCTCAGCCTGCCTGGAATGTGCCCAGTTACACTGTAAGTCCGTCATGCGGGAGTCACGCTTTTTCGCCTGTCTACCTGCCTCAGCCCCTCGTCAGAACTGGCCACAGAGAGAATGCTAAAAATGTCTAGCTTTGGCAGATGAAAATGACAAGGTAAATTCTTACACCTATTAGACAAAAGACAAAAAACAGACAACCCAAAAACCCCACAGGGCACTGGGAGGCGGAGACTCTCCAAGTGATTTAAGAAGCCTCAGTGAGTATAGCAATTAGGATACACGTAACCCTCCCTATGAAACAGATATACCTCTAACACAAGCAGCCTATGCTCCACGGGAAAGCTCAGCGGACACCGCTCCCCAAAGCAATAAGGAATGTGAGGGAGCGCCAGCATCACTGAACAGGACCAAAACTAGGGTGACGTGCATGAGGTACTTCCCTCAGGAAACAAAAAAGAATCCGATGCTGGGAACATATTCTAGAAATAACCTGCAATGTTTTTAAAGCCACTTATACAAAAATATTAGTTTAAAACATATTGTAGCTTTATGTTTCCTAGAGATAGTACGAAACAGAACATTTGCCAACTCTCTGGCATGTGCAAAGCAACAGGCCGGCCACCCCGAGCATCGGCAGGACAGACAACCCCTGGTTCCTGCCCTCAGGAAGCTCAGAGTCTAAGAGGCGGAACAGAGCTGCAGACGACCAGGTTCTAAGGAACAAAAAAGTGAGAAGCTAGAAGAACAAGGAGCAGAGCATGACTGAAGTATCCGTTCGGGAATTCAAGCCAGGAGTGGTAAAGGCAACACAGGCAAGACATGGCCACGTGACAGTGGCAGTGGGCGCGTCAAGCAGGTTTCTGACATTAGGGCCACGTGACAGTGGCCATAGCAGCACTGTTCACAACAGCAGAAAGGCAGAACAACCCAAGTATCCATCGATGGAAGGATGGATAAACAAAATGTGGTCCACGCACACAATGGGATATTATTATTCAGCCTTAAAAGGAGTGAAATCCTGACACGTTACAACATAGATGAACCCTGAAGACATTACGCTGAGTGAAACAGCCAGTCACAAGAAGACAAATATTGTATGATTCCATTTATGTGAGTTTCTTAGTCAAATATACAGAAACAGGAAGTAGAATAGTGGTGTCAGGGGCTGGGGGGAGAGAGAATGGGGAGTTACTGTTTAATGGGGACAGAGTTTCAGTTTTGCAAAGATGAAAAAGTCCTGGAGATGGGTTTGCACAACAACATGACTATACTTAACATTACTTCTAAATGGTTAAGATGGTAAATTCTGTACTATGTGTCTTTTACCACAATTAAACATAAAAACAGACAGAGAAGGGGAAGAGCTGGGGAGGAATGTAATCAGGACGTATGCACACGGGCTGGGTTTAAAGGGCCTTCAGACGTCTAGGTAGGGAACAATTTCTCCCGCTCTAGTGACTCGGCACTACTGACATTTGGGCCAGCTCATTCTTTTTTGTGCCTCTAGGACATTAAGAAGCATCCCTGGCTTCAAGCTAGTACTATTCCCTCCAGTTGTGGCCACCAAAAATGTCTCCATTGTTAAATGTCCACTGGGGGACACCTACCCCTAGCTGAGAACCCCTGAACTCTATGGGAGACAGAGATTTCTGAGACATTAAACACACAGAGGGTGGCTGAGCCTTGACAACAGGATTTCCCCAGGGATAAGGGGTAGAGACAGAGATGTTTACAGAGGGTGGGAGAGGACGAGGGCCTGGAGAGCCCCAGAGGGAAGGAGAAGCAGGTGGAATCCAGGGGCTGAGGAAGGGATGCCTGGCAGTGCCAAAGCCACAGAACATTCTAGCAGAGCGAGGACCAAGAGGCTAAGGGCTTGGCCAAGCGTTGTTCCCGTCAGTCAACAATCAGCTGCTACACGTCCCACTGGGTGGATGCGGAGATACACCAGCGACCGCCAACACGGGAGCGGAGAACACACGAAGCACAGTGGGGAAAGCTGTGTGCGGTGGACGCAGGGCCAAGGGAAGGATCAGAGAGCACACTGACGTCCTTCTGAAGCATACAGAAAAGAATCAGAAGAAGGATCTGCAAAGTAAATAAAAAGGTGGGAGGAGATGGGGAGGAGACACAGAGAGGGAACAGGGAAGAGAAGAGTGGTGGGGGGCCCGAGACAGCAGGAGACTGCCCTCCTCAGAGGCAGGGAGGAGCAGGTACGGGGAGGGCCTGGAGCCCATAAGCGGGAGAGAAGCTGACAGGTTTGTCCTTGTCAGAGCAGAGGTGAAGACCTAGGACCCTAAGGAAGAGTCAAGGTTGGCACAGTCCACGAGGAATGGAGAGAAAGGTTGGCAAGCAACGCTGACGGTCGACAAATGCTTGGACACCAAAAACCTGAAAGCAACCGTGTCCAAGCACTGGGAAGTGAGAAAAGCGACCACCATGCTTCTATTACAAGTAAAAGAGGACGTCTGGCTCCAGGGACCCCTCCCTCCCCCCGCTGAAATAATGGGAAAAGACAGACAGAAACCCAAATGGACGTTCATCCACAGTGCTGTATGTAGGGAGTGTTCTTCACAAAGGGGTTCTTCTCTGTCGTTTCTGAGACCTCGGCAAGTAGGTAACTACAGTGGGAGGAAAAACCTCTATTCCCTTGTTGGCTGAACAGCAAGAAAGGAATCACGAGGCGGGAAGGGCTCAGGACAGGTGAGTGGTTGAACACCCTGTCAACCTCCACCTGAAAGGCCATCAGAGCAAGGGGCAAGGAGTGTCCCAGGAGGGAGGTCTGCATGGCTTTTGCTAGGGGAGGGTCACCTTGAACAGCTGGCAGGCCGCAGCCGCAGCCTGGCGCTCAGCGTCAATCTTCTTGCTGCCATAGCCTTCTACCTCCACACTCTTGGGCCACTTTATGTGGAGGGTGACTTTCTGAGGAAGAGAAGACAGAATCAGGATCCTTGCCCCGCCAGACTGCAAAGCTGTTGCACAGCCCATGGAGACGCAACAGCAAAGCCGTGGACCTCACAGCGGCAGTGCAGGACAGAGCTCCACCCCATCACTGACTCCTTGTAAGGCTCTAATTCTCCCATCCTCAAGCCATTCGCCCCACCGCCAAGTTGTTCTTCTTCAAAGTGCCATGTTCTGGCCAGAGGGCAAGGTGGAACCCATCATTAATGTTAAAAATCTTCATTCAGAATGGTTTGCCTGCACATTTCAGTGGGTCCCAGGACCAACAAGGCTGTTGGAGCAGGAATTCCCAGTCAGCTCTAACCCTCTGCAGTGCCAGTTAGTCGATGGGGGACTGTATTACACAAGATGAGAAGCCCTCACCTCACCAGCCCTGGCTTCCCTTTCCCTAAACCAGGCTCTTCTTCAAACCTAATTTTGTACTAAGATTCTCTGCTGACCATTTTTAATTCAGAAATGTCCTCCTTGACCAAGAGATCTGAAGGAGAAAAAGGCAGCCAGACGTCCCCCTCCAGTAGTGGAGTTACCTTTTTCTTCGGTCCATTTGTGTGCACGTAGACCAGTTTGTCTTTTGCATGTGAGATGCCAAGGGCTCTTCCAATCACACTGTTGAGAAGGTTTTTGGGCTGTGGAAATTCTTTTAATAGGTCCCTAGAAGCTAAGAAAATAAGAACAAAAGCATTATTTCTTTTTCTTTTAAAAACTCCATGGGATGTGTATCAGGACATCCCTGGGCAGGATACAGAAGATGTTGGCTCGTGACCCCAAACCACCCAGGAGCATCTTAGAAAAGGAGAGCGGAATGGCTTCAGGATTTACAAGTGAGAGTGGGGCCAGACCCACTTGCACCACCATCTCCTGAAGGAGAACGGCCAATGACCTACACGCCATGGAAGGAACCAGCCAGCATCCTCTTCCCTACCAAGCTCCTGATTTAATACGCCAGCTACAGGAGCCAAGATGGCAACAAACACCCTATTCTGATGTCTAGAAGGCAGCACTAAACAAAGAAACAAAATAGAAATCTATCACACAAACTGGAGATTAAGACAATGCAAGGCCCCTCCTAAAACGAAAGACACACAAAAAGGATTGGCCCCAAGGTCTAAATACCAGGTTCCAGCTCTCTACTGTCCTCAGCACCCTACAAAAGGTCTCCCTAGTCAGATTATGCGTAGGGACACTGATTAGAGACCGCCATAGCTGAGACACAGGTGTGAGCTATTCCTTCCCCAAGTTCACTGGAGTCATGTGGTGGCAGGACACAGCAGATATCATGAGAGGTACCTCACTTTTTTTACTTGGATCAATCCCAGAGCACAAATGAGTGAGATGTCCACCCAGAGGCAGCTTGTGCCAGACACAGGGCTTGGCCAGACCATGAAGAAGCAGCCTGCTGGGAGCAGCTAAAAACAGAAGGGCCCTAAAGCACCAGAGTAGCCCTTCAAGAAACGCATGGTCAGAGACCAACAGAGGAGATGGGAGGCCTTTTCATTCTCCACTCACTTTAGTCAACTTTAAACCAGCTCCAAAAAGGAACTTTGTAGGGATATATGTACACACATGTGCACCTGCACAAATCAGTCATAAATCACCCGGGGAACTTGTTCACAGCACTGGACAGACACCTGATCCCTGCAAGGCGCTTGAGAATTGTGGTGATGGTGGGGAAGGTTCTGTGCTTGGAAAAAGCTCCTCCAGGAGTTCTGATGTAACCCTGCTGTCTGGGCTGAGACTGCTTCCTTAGGGCAGACTCTTGTGCCAACTGGTCAAGAGGGAGGATTCTATCTGGCTTTGGCTTCCTCTAAATGATAACTTGTAAAGCAACTAAGAATCAAGCAGTCAACAAAGAGTACTATCTAAGTGGACTCAAAAGGGTTTGAGTCCCAAGGACCCGACTTTAAGTGGCCCACTAGACTCACAGGTATAAACAGACCTGTGCTGGTGCCTCCTCCAATTCTATAGGGCCGGCAGGCAGAGGCCAGCGCTCTCCATCCATCCCTGATGGGCAGGGATGCTCCCACCAACTTCATTACCTGCACTTTCCAGTAGGCACACCTCTGGGATCCACCTGAGCCATCACTCTGTCTCTGTTTGAGATCTTGAAGTCCCAGGTGTATTTTGGGCTTTTTTGCACACTGGTGAGAACGTGGGAAAGGGTTGATGCTCTAACGCTTGACCACCCATCCGGGCAGAAGGGCGACGTTTACCTGTTTTTTTTTCTCTCTCTCTCTTTCTCTCTCGGTCCCGCACCTCTCACCTGTTCTTGCTAGGTGCAGGCGCGCAGTCCCAGAACCTCCGTGCTCGGGATCCGTGGGGGCCTGTACTACACTATGCTTTAGAACAGCAGGGCTGCGACCCGCCGGCGAATAGTGGTCTCGATCGGAGACCGGGCCCAGCCTGGCGGGCCCGACCCCGGTTGGCGCCCCTAGCTCTGCCATCCCCAGGATCAAGGGCGTCCCGGCCCGGCCGCTGCCCTCACCGTTCACCACGCTCCTGTCGGCTTCCTCGGGCCCGCAGGGGGCCACCCCCGCCTCGGCCTCGGCGGCCTCCTTGTTGCGGTCGGAGCGGGCACAGCCTGATGAGAAGCCGCGCGAGCGTCCCTGTCGCCCGGCAGCGCGGGGACCAGGTGGCCGCAGGCGCGGAGAGACGCCGGCAGCCAGCACCATGAACCTCCTGGCGGCCGCCATCGCGCTCCCGCCGGCCCCCGCGGTCCCGGAGCCGGGCAGGGACAGAGCAGAAGGGCGGGAACGGGTGGCCCGTGCGCCCCCTGCGGGACGGGCGGACCCAGGGGCCAAGCCGAGACGGCCCCAGCCGCCAGGCTGCAGCCTCACACAGCCCAGGGCCTCCGGCGCCCAGGCTCTAGTCAACCCGTGGACACGCCAGTAAATCTAAACCCACAGACTCGTCACCTGAATCTGAGGGAGAAAGAGGGAATGAGGTATTTTGGGAAATAGTGCAGACCTTAGCTCAGTATTCATCCGTAAATACCTCTCACGTGCGCTGGCAAATGGGCTTGCACTCCAGCTCCCAGTGTTAAAAGAACTGCTAAACGGGGGCACCCCATCTCACTGAATGGCGTACAGGGTAAACCTGAAGAAAAATCTGGAGCCAGGACGGGGAAGACCTCTTGACCATAAGCAGACCAGATTTCTTCCCCTGGCGTCGGAGATGAGATACACCACCTGGACACTGCGCCCAAGAACCGAGCTGGTCCAGCGGTGAGAGCCTGAGCTGTGCTTCTTTGTTTGTTTGAAAACCAGGTGGGATTGTTCCCAAACTACTATGCCTGTGTTCTATCCAGGGTCGCTCCTCTTCCGTGCCTGTTATGGCAGGAGCAGGACTTTGGGTCAGCTGCCAGTCAGACTGAACCCACATTTTGGGGCAGTGACAATAACAGCAAGGGGGCCTTAAGGTCTCAGTTGTTTGGAAGGAGGCCTTGGTCCAAGGTTGTCAGTACAGTTGGGGGTAAACTGGGAGGGTTTTGTTTTTAAACTCTAGATGTGACACTGGTGATCCCTTGGAGAGCTTATTAAAACATTGCTAGGAGTCACCCCAAGAGTTTCTTATTCATTAGGTCCGGAGTAGGGGCCTGAGAACCTGCATTTTTGACAAGTTCCCAGATTTAACAAGTTCCCAACACTGTGAGAACCACTGGCCAGGGGCAAGAACATGGGATTTGAGCGCTAATATTGGGCTTACTTTGTCCCAATTCTATCACTTACCAGCTGTGAACCTTGGGCAATGTCATCAACTGGGAAAATTAGGACAAACTTGCTCTACTCATTTGGCATGGCTGTGGTTAGGATAAGACGGGAATGTTTGGAAGGCGGCTTTGCAGAGTGCTCTGTTAGAGAAGACGCTGCTCTCTGAAGTCTGAGATTAACAGGGGACAGGTGCCTTAGAGACAGACCCGGGGCAGGATGGGGCTTCAACTCCCACTCTTCCATTTCCTTAGTGGGTTTTTATCAGGAAAGGGGCAAAAGTAAAAGCGGTCTTGGCTGCAATGATCTGACCTCACCAGGGGACACCACCATCTGTACCAAACCCCCCACCAGCTCATCCGCAGTGGGATGGCAAGACCCTTGGGGCAGAACGTGATTCTCCAAGGGCTTTAAATTTGGACAAATGGCACTTTAATTGGCCAAAAGCTCAGGCATCCACCCAGCTTCAGGACTAGTTTTCAAGGGTTCTTAGCAGCTCAAATGTCCTCAAGAGACTCCAGAAGCTTACCAAGTCTGGTAGTGGCAGCAGGGGCTGAGGCCAAATTTTGAAAACTGTGGTGTCTGAAATCTGGAGAACAGCCTAGACAGAAAGACCCAGGACCTGAGCCCATCATGGTGCTTCAGGAAGCCCTCAGTACAGCAGCACTCTGCTCTGAGAGCCACGAGTCAGGCTAAGGTAGAAATGCTGGGGTTTCACGGATCTGCTTCCAAGAGGCCCAAGTGGAGGGATTGGCTATGAGTCAATTGTTCAAGCTGAGTGACAGGTACGTGAGGTTCATTATACTACTTTCTGGATTTTAGAAAACATATTTCAAACATGTTTGAAATTTTATGTAAAAAATTAATAATAATAAAGCATCAAGTGCCACCAACCAACTAGTTCATTCTCAGGGAGCTCCTTATCCCCTTTTCCTATTTCTTTTACTTCATCTGGGCTCTAAAAGCTGGTGTCATTCTGAGTAAACATTTCACCTCTGCAAACCTCACTGCCTCTTGTAAATTGAGGACAACTCTTAGACCAGCTCTTGGGACCCTTTTGGTTCTGTGATCTTCTCTCCCTTGGTCTGGAGCAGGGATTGCCAAACTATGGCCTGCAGGCCAAATCTGCCCACAGCCTATTTTTACAAATAAAGTTTTATTGGAATATAGCCATGCTCATCTCTTTATTATCTATTACTGCTTTCATGCTATAATGGCAGAGTTAAGTAACTGCGAAAGAAACTATATGGTCCACATAGCCTATGTACTCTCTCTGACCCTTAAAGGAAGTTTGCTGACTTCTGCTTTAGAGGACCTTGAAGAAAGTTACAGGGGCTCAGGCATGCACCCCTTCCTTTCCACCAACATTAAGCCTTCTCCTCCACTCTCCATTCTTTAGGGAGGGAGTGTTGACTCCTCTGCCTGTAAAAAAGAAGGGAAGTTCTTAAAAAAGAAAGGGTTACTGGCTCAGAGATCTGTCCGCTCACTTCTGGATCAAGCGCACCATCTGGTACCAAACGTGCTAAACAACAACATCTAGCAGCATGGAATTACATTGTAAAAGACCCCGAAACTTTGGAGGCCCCAGGAAAAAGCAACAGGAGGAAGCCCAAGAGAGTCCAGACTTTGGGCAGACCAGAGAACTTCTGGAAGGAAAGAGAGAGGGACCACTTACACCTGAAGAAACCAGGGGTGTTGGCCAACATACTCAACCATAGTTACTTTATGGATGGTCCAAATGGCAAGAAATGGTCCACTCGATCGGCAACAAGAAAGGTAAGGACCTACAGGGTCGGGGTGGCCACCCTGACGACCCTACGTGTCCTCATGGCTTTCCTGTTCACACATGTAAGCCACAAGGGCCCTTAAGGTAAACCACCACACCAAGAGGAAGGGACACATCTGTATGAGGGAATGGACAGGAAAGACCAGTCCCATGGCCCCCAGGATCTTGCTGGGAATGTTAGCCCACATTGCTTTCTGTCTCTGAGTGCTTTGCGTCTCAGATCTGAGTGGGTGGGCAATATTCACAGGGGAGGCTTAGAGATGATTTTCTTAGCTTATTCACCGTTTACCTTAAAAAGAGGCCACAGTCAGAGGTTGGCAGTGGGCAGGGGCGGGTGGAAGGGGGTGCGGGTAGATTGGGAAAGAAGGTGATAGTTTTTTCCAATTCCAAATCTGACTCTGACGGGCACTGTAACCTATTCAAGTGGCCACAATTTTCTGAGTGCTGTTTTCCTATTTGAACGCGAGACTGTTTCTGCCACATACTTCCTTCTTAAGGGCAGGGGCACCAACAAGGCCCCTAGCGAATCAGAAAACATGGCAGAAAGGTCCCATAGTCATATGTGGACTAAGAGGTCTGTTGCTTCTGTGATGAAGAAACAGAGGCAAGAACCTTTTCTAGCTTCAGAAAGAGAGAGAAGAGAGAGAAGAGAGAGAAGAGAGAGAGAAGAGGGAGGAGAGAAGAGAGAGAGAGAGAGAGAGAGAGAGAGAGAGAGAGAGAGGAGGCAGAGATACGTACACCCATGGGTGCCTTCTGGAGGCACAGCTGTGAGGAGACAATCAGGCTCGGGGTCTGTACTCCTCTGAGGAAGACAGAGTGGGGCCTGTTGGGCTGCCCCACGGAGTAACTGCCCCTTCCTAGGGCGGCGACCTTCTCCTCTGCATGTGCTCAAGGAGGCACTGCCTACTGGTACCGCCTGCTTTATCCCAACTAACCATCTTAAGCTTAGCCAAAGCACATCTGACACTCTCAGAGCCACTCACCTGCCATGTTGGAAATGTTAATGTTCAGCCTTTTCGAGTTACAGGGCATTTTAAGAAAGAAAAAAAAAGGGCAATCAACTCTTGTTTTGGCAATGGTAGGGGGTGGCATTTCTTTAACACCTAAGTCAAATAGTCAGATGGGCTGGAAGTACTCATTTCTATACTGCTGGCCATAGTCGGGCCATTGCAGCAGGAGGGCAGTGCACGTGTAAACCGCATGGGAACATGGCAGCTGCGTGTGCTGCAGAAACTGAGGTGCTCTGTGCTCCCGGCACCCTTCCTGAGTGCTTACCTTCAAAGCACTTTACAGACAGTCTAAAGGGGACATGCTGTCTGTCTCCACATGAGGCACAGACTCTATGACCTAAAATAGTGTCCTTCCATTAGGCAACTGGGGGAGGGGTGTGAACAGGCAGCCAGTGGGGCGGAGAGAGGCAGCTGTCAGGACAAGAAAGAGACCACCAGGAGCACTGGTCTTAGCAGACCTGGAAAAGATCTAAGTCTGAGGGAAGAGAGGAGACGCTCATGGGCAGAAATGCTTCCCTGGGTCCTATTACTGGGCCCATCCCTGGATATCAGTGGGACCTGAGCTGAGCTGTCCCCTGAGGGCTCTGACATTCTCCCCAATCAAAAGGGAGCCTACCTTGCCAGATGGACTGAGAGGCAGATTTTAATGTCAGTAAAGTGCTTTGAGGTGCTGGGGGAAAAGGAAGTGGTTTGCCAGGCATCCCTAAAGCCTCCAAGATGGAGGGCACTGGGCCAAGTCGGGGATGTCCGCTCTGGCACTGCTACAAGTCCCCTGTACTTTCTAAGCCACCTGAGCCAGGGACGGCCTAGAGGACCCAAACCCTGCAGATTCTTCATGTTGGTGCTGAACACTCAGACTAAGCCTAGGCTCCATTGCTGGTCATGTGAGGAAGCCCAGTGAGACCACAGGGTTGAAGCCATGTGGCCAAGGATCGTGACATACGGCCCAGACCTTTCCAAGTGACCTCACCCTGAGGGCTCCAACTGCTCTGCTAACTCCACGCCTCCTCACTTTCCAGAGGCCCATGGGCCTGGCACCTGGGCTCCCGCTGATGCCCACCTCCCCAGAGACCCTGGACCAAGCTGGTGCTGGAGGCAAGGCTCCTCGCTTACCTCGAGAGATGGTCCCTCCAGGGGCAGGGTTGACACACATGGGTGGAAGGCGGGGTGGGGGAAGTTTGCACTGACGCTGCCTGTGCTGGGCCCGATCTGGGGAAAGAGAGAAGGCATCAAGGTGATATCTTCTCACCCCTCACAGACCCCTGGACTGACTCACCCCAGGGCATCTGTGAGGAGCTCTGTGCAGCAGGGTTGCTGGGCTGTATCTGGAACCAGTCACAGGTTCTGAGAAAGTGTCACCAATGCCACACAGAAAGAAGGCAGTTGTCTTACAGAGACGTGATGATGCATGATAGCTTTGCCGCGATCCCTCCTTGGCTTTCAGAAAAGCCCTCAGACTCTCCCTGTTCCCTTAGCCACCCTCTACGAGTTTAACACCCACCCTATGTACTGCTCTGTAGTCTTGAGTTGTGAGACTGAGACAGGACAAGAGTTGAAAACTGAAAAAGCCGTAGTACCATGTAAACCTCCAGAGTTCTTCCACTTGTGCCTGCCACTTATGGTAGCTGTCCCTGTATCTGCTGTGGGTTCCCCAGAGGGCCACTTCAGCCACCAGGCCTCAACTCTATTTCTCCCATAAGCCCTCTCATAATATTAAAGGTCTGTGATTTTTGCAGAAAATACATATAGTGTCAGAACAGAAATGCCTGTAGGGTCTTCTGGAACGCAGTGCTTAGGATCAAGGTTTATTTTATCTTGGAACTCATTCCAGCTCTGTCGTGAAGCTAAGGCTGGAAATGACCAGCTTAACCTCTCTGTTCCTGTTTGAGAAGGGTCCCCACTCATACCCAGGGATGCTGGATTTAAAAAAAAAAAAAAAGAATAATGATTTGATGATCACTGATTATCTCATTGAGCATTTTCAGTAATTGGGGCAAAGTTGTTATAATCCCATAACATCACTGAGCCCCCTTCTGACCATGGAGCTGGAAAAAACTGCACATTCTTGCTGTTGATCCAGTGTCTTTCAGTTTTGTGCTCCCTGTAAAAGACTCAGCTTGCTCTTTGTGGCCTGATTCCGATGGCATTACAACTGAGAGACAAGAAACTTATGTTAAGATGCTGACAAAGGCAATAACAGGTCACTTACCAGGCACATAACTGTTCTAATTAGAGGGGTGTTGGCAGCTCAGTTGAATTACATAATGGGAAAGATGGTTGCCACAGGGAATTGCTGTAGCCAGCACCATTGGAACCATCAAATGGCCCATCCCACTGAGACTGGAAGCCCCTGAGTACCAGGAAGCATTCTGAAACACAGCTGTCTCCACCCTAGGGTCTCCTGTGCAGCAGCTGCTCAATCATGCAGCCACATAGCACACTGCATGCTGAGGCCAGTCTGTCACTCTCCAGCAAAACATCGGCTCGGTTCTACACCCCAGATAAATCAAGCTACTCGCATTTATCAAGGACCTGCCAACCCAAGACTAGGCGCTAGGGACAGACCAAGTGCTTTTCCACATCATCTCAAATCTTCACTATATCCCTGAAGATGGGGGCTGGGAAACAGGATCAGGTAAGTTAACACCTTGTAGCGTTAGTGGGTACCAGATTTGAACCCCAGCTAGTCTGACTTGGGAACCCCAAGGCTCATACCACATTACCTTTCCTCTCAAGAGTAATGACACCCTAGGGAGCTCATAATCTCATCATGAGAAACAAAGAAACTATATAAAAACTATAATATAAAAACTCCATAAGAGATAAAGAATAGTCCTACTGAACAATACAAGTGTCACAAGGCCACACATGACCGATTGCCAAGGTCATGATGAAAACCACAAGTGATACTAGCATTCAGAAGACAGGAAAGGGCATTCAGTCTTATTGTCAGTAAACTGTGAAAAGATAGGTTTGCCTGAAGGAAAATATTCAAGGCAGTGACTCCTTCTGATGAGTGGTTTTCCCTGAGATCGCCAAGCATGAGCTGGATGTTGGTAAGAATACAACACTTACCTGTGTGGAAGGCAAGGCTCCAAACAGGACTATTAAGTCCTAAGGCTACTCAATTACTAACACGGATTGTGAGTTTACCAGGTGTCAGGCCCTGTTCTAAGCTCTTTATGTGTATTAAGCCATCTGAGCCTATGAGGCAGGTACTATGATCTGGCCCACTTAAATCATGAAAAGATGGTGGCAGAGAGGCTCTGTCACCCTCTCAGGCCTCCTGAGCGAGGGGCAGTACTGTGATGTGAACCGGGCACCTGGGTCTGAAGCTTTTGCTCAGTGATGATGCACTGCCTCCCACTAAGTTGAGTGCTAACAATGTCGCCCTTGATGGAAAATCTCTAAAACAAATCAATCCCCAGCCTCGGAAGTAAAATCACAAATGCTATAAAGGAATTTTGCCGCCAAATTCTCTTACCAAGTACCATCTCCCTATCATGGCCAAGTTAAGTAACAGGAAAAAGGAGGATCGTGACTTTATTGGGCCTCTATCTATTTACCAAATCAGTGCTCCTAAGTCAGAGACACTCCCACCATAAGAGAGCCTGTTTCCATCCAACTTCTACAAAGTGGACAACGAAGCCCACCGATTAGCAGGTACACAAAGCAATTAAATGTACTTAATTTTCAGCTTAAAATGTGCTGTTCACACTATCTCAAGTTCAATGCTGCCTTTTTCAGACACAGTTAACCCACAACAAAACCAGGATGACAGAGATTAATTTTTTTCATGTAATATGCAAACAGATCGGGCGGCTAAAGACAAACAAGGAGGCAGGAAGAGGCTGCTATGAGCTCTGGTACATCCAGCCCTCCTCCTGGCCCCATTCGGTGGTGACACAGGGTACCAGTTGGCCAAGATTTCCCAGGCCTCTAGGCGCATAACTTGGAGAGGAGATACAACTGGGAGGATCTCTTTAATCAGCGGTTATGGAAGGCCGCTTATGGTTCTCATTTATTTGTAAGATATGCTAAGACAGGAGCCTCACGGTTAGCTTCAGTACAGGAAACAAGCCTTTTACTCTTTATTCCCATAAAGGAGAAAAGGCATGTGCCTAAGACATACAAAGCTCTCGGGGATCTGGCCCCTGAAGTCCTCACCAGCTACATTACTTCCTGTAAGCAGCTCCTAACGCTACCCTACAGCCCTCCAGGGCTCAATTCTGCCATTGCTAATGCAACTCTCTCACCCCGTCTGCTGGAGGGCACTGATTTCAAGACTTGCCACAGCGTGTACGACCAGTAATATAACAATGACTCAATCCAGTTCCAGAAGTGTTTATGGAGGCCTACCATGTGCAAATGCTAGGTTAGGTACTATAGATGATAAAGGAGCACTATAGGCCCTGGCTGAAGGGAGCCTCCAATCTACTGGCACAATATTTCATTTATTTCAGAATAGACTAAGCACCAGGAAGTACAGGTATGGTGCTGAGGCAAGTTGGAGAGGAGAGACTGCCTTTGGTTCACAGACTCGAAAAAGGTTCATGGAGGAAGGAAATGGTATAAAACACTGGCCTGGAAAAATTCGTAGGATTTCAATAAGCAGTGACTACGTGGCAGAGGGCGTTCCGGGGGGGAAGGGTGGCAAATGTACATCAAAGCCTGGTCAGGGGTGGCATGGGTTATGAGGGACCACGCATGAGGAAGAACTCTGGCAAGTCACCCAGAGAAGGGGTCCAAGGACCACACACTGGTGAGGGGTTTTCACAGCCTTCACAGCTGCCCATCACAGGGAGAAAGGGCACGAAGTCAGAAGCACAGTTAATGTTCTTACCTTTTCTGAATGAGTCCAGGCTGAACATTTCTGGCTGGGAGGGAAAGCTGGAATCCTAAAAAGAAGGACGGCCGAGAGGCAATGGTTAATGTTCCCGGTCCAGGAACCCAAAGCGAAGACTTCAATAACACAGAGAACACTGTCCAGAAGACAGGAGAAATGAAGCTCTTCACTAATGAGCCCCAACTGCTGCTCCCAGTCTTAAGGACGGAAGGGCCATCTCCACTCTAATTACTAGAGTAATTACATGTCTTTGTTTCTAATTGAGAGCTTTCTTCTGTATCCTAAACTCCCTGGACCCTGCTAAACAGAAGGCGATGCATTTTATCACAAGAGACACATATTTCCACCTCATCAGAATACTTGCAGTTTTCCTGGGACTTCTAGGAAGAAGCGAAATTCTACATGGACCCCTTTTCTCATGTGGCATCAGGAAATGGGACTGATGACTGCCTTAAGGGCACACTGGCTTACTATCCTTTCACAAAACCTAGTTAAGCCCCTAAGAATGGGATGCAACTGACAGTATCTAACAGTATTTATATTGATTCAAGATAAAATGCTTCTCATGGCCGAGTCTCTAATATAAATAGCAAATATTAAATTAATAGTTCAACTGTTGGCCAAAAACTTTGGTGCATTTTGCTCATTAGTACACCGAATGGAGGAATCTACCTAGAGACTTTAAAAAAAAAACCAAAAAACAAAAAAACCACAAACAAGTAACGCCTCTGGTTTAACAATTTTGTTTTCAAAAAACACGCAGATTCATGGATATTTTTAACAATGCAGTCCTCCGGGGTTGGTGCAGGAACATTATGTGGCCTCAGTTTAAAAACATCTACACAATGCTTTAGTAAATCAGGGTACTGTCCAACATTCCTACGAGTCTACTGGGGCCTACACGCCTGCTCCTGACTGTTAGTCCCTCTTAATCGTGGGATGGTGGGGGGTGGAGGGCTGACCTGGGGCCGAATCTTTCAGGTCCATAGCAGGTCTGCCCTGATGGCCTCCTCTCCCCCAGGGATGCCGGAAATTTCAGCCGATAGGATATGGTAGCTCAGAGAGAAAACTTCAATACAATATCAACAATGATTCAATTTACTTTAAGAAATTACATTCTGTAGACTCCTTCTATCCAAAATAAAAGAATAAAGGTATAATTTGAGATTCTAATTTTAAAGAAAACCTGAATATTATAAAATCTAAAACATCTAAGTGATGATTATTTGAGAAACAGTACTTTCTAGCTAAGAAATTATAAGTTAATTTGCTTGTAAATAGACTTTTGGTTTTGCTTTTAAAAAGTCCCCAATCCTCTACATGCCAACACTATCTCATATAGCATATCAATATAACACTCTCTTTTCCTGTATCATTCTAAAAAATATAGTATGATATTCAAGATAGGATCTTTTAAAGATATTTTACAGAGCTCTAGAACATTTCACAGAGATCCAAAGGAAAGCTGCCTTCCTTGTAATACAGTATTATGTTGGAAACCTTTATGGTTCTGAATTTCTCTTAAATAATTCAGAGATAAGTAAAATATTATGTCAAGATTTCTTGCATGATGAAACACCATTTAACTCCAAGTAGAGTCACTATGGGATGATTCAAGGCCAGAGAGCTTCCATAATGACTAATTAAAAATGGTACCCTTCATCTAAGATAGTCACAAACGAATTGAATATATGCCTTTTGCTTTACAGTGGGGCTGAGAATGAGAGCCAGCACGGCTTTGTGTGCATGGCCAAGCTCACTTACCTTACAAGAGCAGTGAAAGTCTCTGATTTTGTAGGCTTTTGAACTGGAGCTGAATTCTCTCCTTGCTATTCCTCATCACGAGGCTGGGCCTCCTCCTGGGAAGTACAACCCTGGGTCACTAAAGACATGGGCCCCACAGGGAAAGAAAGTTGCTCCGGGTCATTGAAATTCACTTACTAACTCTGACAACAAGAACAAGTTTTGTTAGTGGCATGAAACACACACACTGGACCCACTGGCCTCACTTCAGGACCTGCCGTGACCCACTCTAGACCCATCAAATTGTGAGCTGCCCTTCGTCAGCACCTGGAAGATACCAAGAAAGAGACCTCATGGTAGAAGGGCTTGTAGTTCTAAGAGCATTTTTTCCAGGCCCAAAGCACCACTTACTGCAGTTCTGAATTCTACTCCCACCATGACTATAGCATGAACCCATCTAAGGTAGATAAAGCAGCTCTTCCAGATAGGGGAAATAACAACTAGAGATTGAATATACCATTTTTAGTTTGCAGAGTACTTCCATAGATATTATCTCACTTAGTCTATGTAACTACCCAGTGAGGTAGGAATTATCTTCTCCAGAGAAGGTTACACAACTTGCCCAAGATCCCATAGCTGCCTCAGGGCAGAATGGAAATCTGCTGTTAGGGACTGGGTTCCAAAGCTTTCCTTGGTTATGCTACACTACTTTTCTAATTCCCTTGATATCATGTCATTGCCTAGATGCCCCATGGGTCAGTCTTTGAAATCACACTTTATAGTGACATCTTTAAAAGTTGCAAGGGGCAAGAAGTGCCCAACTGATAAACTTTGGACCACAGCTATGTAAGTTAAAACACATGGAGAGCAAATATCTCTTGGAGGTAAAGGGATACCCTACACAGGCTTTTTTTCAAAAATGCAGCAAAGGATGTATTTCTTGTTCTTTAAACAGCTACACAAATAAAGAGCACTATCCTAAATCCCAAAAATTGTATCAGGAAAAGAGTCCTTCCTCCTGAAAACTACAAAACTCCAAGATTTAAAGTACAAGATGTGGTCAACAACCACAAGTGGGATTACTGCCTTCAAAGAATCTGCAAAGGAAACCATCAGACAATGTCTCTTTTCACTCTGGCCAGTAAGTTGCAACCAAAAACCGGTTGAGAGTCTGCAAGTGGCCAATCAGGGTCCACCTGCTACAGTGTGTGGCAAGCCCCTGTGGACTGGGGGTGCAAAGTGGGACAACCTGTGTCTTGCAAAATCACAATTAAGATGACCAATGTTGCTACAAGAGGACTAGCTAGACAGCATGCTGAAGTCATACTCCTGGCTTGGGGGTTCTAAGGACCCCTGGGACTCCAGTTCACTGCAAACAAAGAACCCAACATGCATTAGGTCTTCCCTGCGAAATGGGACAAGGCACCACCAGCAAACAAAGAACATCTCACCCCTTGGCCTCCCCAAGTGACAAGGTCGGTGCAAAGGGGGGCAAACCAGGGGGGCCAGATTGCACCAGGCCTCCCTTTAGACGAACGGTCCAGCCCACACGGGGGGCAGACAAAGGTCCCAGGGCACTCCGGGGACTTTCTCCAGGCCCTGCCTCGAGAAACCGAGCATCCCCTAAGGCGGAGGCGTTGTTGCGCCAATGAAGCTGCCTCTCCCGCGGCCCCCGCGGAGCCTCTGGCTACCAAGACGGCCCCAGCGGACCTGTTTGCCCCCCGCCCCCGCCCCAGCTCCATGGCAACGGCAGGCCGAGGCCTGGCTGCCCACGATCGGCCCGGCCGGCTTCTCCCGCAGGCCTAGGATGCCCGGCCTGCTCCTCGGGCCCGCCCGCTCCTCCGCCCCACTCTCCGCCAAGCAGGCGGTCGGACCCGGGCCCCTGCTCGCGCTGACCACCCCTGGCTGCGGCAAGCTCCTCAAGGGGGCACGAAAGGGGAGAATAAAAAGCCCAATTCACCTGTTGTTACAGATGTGAAACAAGCCTCGGTGCACCGCGCATGAGCCGCGGGCCCCCCAACCACGGCCGGACTACAATTCCCACCAGCGATGGCGCGGCCCCTTCCGGGTCCCGGGGCGGAAGTCCCGCCCGCCGCCCGGGCGCTCCCCGTCCAGCGCCTCCGGCCCCGCCTCCCGTTCTCAGCCCCGAGTTTCTGCGTGTCTCGAGCGGGTGCCCCTTCAGGGGCTCACAGCGGTCGGCCGAGGCTCACGCGGGCGGTCGGCCAACCCGCGGCGAGACCCCAGTGCAGGGCCCAATGGGGGACGGCCGCAGCGGGCGTAGGCGGGACTTCCGGCAGAGTAGCGAACGGGTGGGCGCCTGTGCAGCTCTGGGGTCTCCGAGGGCGCGAGCCTAGCCGGCCAGGGGCTGCGTACGGTCGAGCCTCTCGCAGCGCCTTAGCAACGGCGGTATGAGTACGGGAGGGCTTCGGTGTCCTTTTTGCGCCTGCTCCGCACCTCCCAGTGCCAGTGAGGAAACAGGCCGGGTCAGGGCTGAACCGGGAACGAAATTCAGCTTGGGCTCGGGGCTTCCACCCGCCTGCCCCGCCACAGCTCGTTGCCACGCCTCTTCTCCATCTCCCCTCCGATCTTCTGTTTCTTTAGGGAGGTGAGAACTTCTGCCTCACGACGTTGTTGGGAGGATGAAACCAACGTGATGGCGCGTTGTAAATATACAACGCTAGGGAAAAGACTAGGTGGCACTTGTTGGTCGCGGGGAAACCACAGGTCAGAGTGTGGCTGGGCGGGTCTGAAGGTCCCGCTCCCGCCCTACACGGTCCCCCTTCCCATTGCTTCAGAAGTGAGAAAGGGCATTGTCCCTGTTGTATGGTGCAGTCCTTTGGATGAGGCTTCTGTGTGAGTTCGGTGGAATCCAACTTCAAAAGGAGGGAACTCAGTATGGGAAACTCTGAAGCTGGGCCAGGATTTTACAGCTGCAAAGACCTAGAATATGCTTTTAAGATGGGGCCATTCAGGATGTATGAAGAATCGGTGCCATTTCCCGTCAATTTTGTTCAAACAAATTCTACGACTATTATTTTCTTTCTACTTTGGACAGAAGGGTGGGGAGTTGGGCGTGGGACATCATTTGTTCATTCAAATAATCACCTATTCTGAGCAGGACATGGCTCTATGGTGTGTGGGGAATGATGATCCCTGGACAGATACTTGCGTGAACTTAATAGCTGTTGCTATGCAAACGTGGAGGACCTTATCCTCAAGGGGCTTTAGGGCCTATTAGAGAAGATGAAAACATTGTGTGACGCAAATCCAAAGTGGTAAATACTGGAGAAGTATAAGGTATTACTGGGGTTCAGAGAAAGGCCTTTACTCCTGAATGGCAACATCAGGAGAAAACCATGTGAGCCAAGAAATCCAGGTGGAACAAGGGGCAACTCCTAAGGATATACAGTAGTTCAGTATGGCCAGAGGGTTGGATACGTGTACAGGTTTTAGAGGAAATAGAAAAAATGGAGTTGGGAACGGTAAGAAATTTTGACTTTATTTGTAATCAATTATTTTTTACAGTTCTAAGGAGAGTAAAGAACTACTTTTAGGAAGTAAAATAATGGATTTTAGGAAAGTTGTTCTGGAAATGTGAGGATAGACTTGGCTGGAAAAGCAGAAGCTAGGATCTAATTAGATGCGTGGGAAAGGACTTCAGCTACGCTCAGCGGTGTAAAAGGCAAAAAAGAAAGGACTAAAGAGCTCTGGGCTGCTTGGGGACCCCAGGTGTGTGAAGAGATGACTTTGAGAGCTGTACCAGGATGACTGGGAGGCTTATGCTCTTAAGAGATACAAGAGTTGAAGATGATGAATTCGGCTTCATACAGGTTATGTTTGAAATGCTATTGTGAATGTTAAGTTAAAAATATGTGATCCTCGTTCCAAAGGAAATTCTAATCTGGTAGAGAGAACGAGAAAAGCATGTAAATAAGTCTTAAAAACCTAGAGTAAGCACTGCAAAAGGGGAGCAAGTGGGGCATTTTAAATACTTTAGCTTTTTGCACATTTTATATTTTTAGTTTTCTCTCTGAAGATCTCGTACTTATTCTTGAGCCTTGAACTACTCTTAATGAACAGTTGTGCCTAGGGAGGCTGAGAAAATGATCCACTTTATGTTAAGGTGAATGCTAGTTGGTGTCTATCTTTTTCCTTCCCACATATTTCACCTCTTGTTTCTTGGTCATTTTCTTATCACTGCCTTATTCCCCTGTGTACAGTCTCTAAACTTCATTCTTTGCTAACATCTCCATCTAGAAACTTCTCTACTTCAGACAGGTTCCTACTCGTTCTGCAGAAATAGGGGAATTTGAGTAACCGAGTATCACATTTTTTGGTATGCATTAAACACTCTTATAAAATCAGTTATTTCTGACAGCAACTCTAGTTTATGTCATTGGCCAAATTGTACAAGTCAGCTATTCTCAATCTTATAAAATGTTTACTGGTATAACTGGAGAGAAAATATATAGCTCCCAGGCTGCTTTTTAGCCAACACTGTTAACCATGGTACTGCCAAAGGACCAACATACAGGCTTTTTAAAAAACATGTATGAGGGCTGGCTGAGTGACCCGTTGGATACGAGTTGGCTTGGGATGCTAGCTCTGAGCAGCAGGGCCCCTGTTCGGATCCCACATGAGGGCCAGTGACGCTGCACCCTCTACAGCTAAGATGGTGAACAACAGCTCAACCTGGAGCTGGGCTCCCGTGAGTCGCCAGCGACGGCGTAGTCTGCAGTGGGGCTGGCCTGCAACAGGAATGAGCTGCTGTGACCAGCCGTCCAATAGCTGGCGAGCGACTGCCTCACCCGGGAAGAGCGCAATGATAATGCCAACATGCGCCAGTGAAGCCACATCCTCCACAACTAGACTGAAGAACAAAAGGACAGCAACTTTTCTGTTCCCCTTCCCCGATTCCCCAACGCTATTCCCCTCCCCCAATTCCTCAATTAAAAAAAAAAACACCATGAATGAAACTGACCTCCGGTCAAGATAGTATTGTATACACACTTTGATGCCACTCCGTTTGTTCCAAACACATGGTAGAATTAAAATCACATATCCATATTTGGAAATAAGATAAACATTTATGTTGACCAGAAAGGAAGACCTGGAAATAGATAGAAGCAGTCAGAAGATTATAGCCTATAATGTAATATGATTGAGGGGGTGCCTCATGTAATATGGATAACAGGGGCCAGGATTGCTGCTTGTAGTTAGGACTTTTCATGGGGCTCCCTAAATTTAACAGATTGAATTAAAAAAAAATACAGGCAATCCCTGCACGAAGATATGTAGTTAAGTGAAATTGTATACTTAGGGAGCAGATACAACATTGAATCCAGGCCTAAATCCAGATACCTTCTCACTTCATGCCTGCATCGCCTGTCTCCCAAATTTCATGGTGGAAACAAAGTCTCAAGTTTCTAATGTAAGACTTGTTTCTGGTTTCCTTGAGTAGAGATTACCACAAAACCATCAGGACAGAAAATATATGTGTATGGGGGGGAAAATCCCCATTCACAAGGAGTGTATAAGTTAAGCTCCCAAAACATACAAGAAAACCTAAAGCAAAAGAAAGACAAAATTAGCATCAAGAGATGAATTCACTGTAATTGAAATGAAAATAACGGAGCAACCTGATAACTAGAATAAGTATGTTTAGACTATTCAAAGACATGAAGCATACCTATTTTTAAAAGAATAAGAAATTATGAAATAAAAGTGGTCAGAAATAGGAGCAGGTAAATATTTAAAGAACCAGTTAGAAATCCTAGAAATTAAAAATACAATGATTGAATAAACACTCCATAGACGTCATGGACTCTAGACAGGTCTTGTGGAAAGTGGTTTAGTGAGTTGGAAAGATGTTGTAGTCTGAGTGAATAACTCCTTACTAAGAAAAATAGAAAAAAAAAATGACTTTTTTTTTTTTAGATTTTATTGGGGATTTGGGGGAGGGGAATAGACAAGCTGCTGTCCTTTTGTTCTTCAGTCTAGTTGTGGAGGACGTGGCTTCACTGGCCCATGTTGGTATTATCATTGTGCTCTTCCCGGGCGAGGCAGATCCATCGCCGATGTTCATCGCTTGGAGGTGTCCTACGAGATAGGATTTTTTTTCGGACCCTACCTTCTTATTTTCTTAAAAGCTCATTGAACTTTTTCTTACCCCCTGCTAGAAGAAGCAGAGAATGAGAGGGATTCTTAAATGGTGGCACCTGCTCTGGCCAGTTGTCCAATTTTTCCATTTTCATCTTTATTACATCTTTACTATGTTAGTTCTAGTAGTAGTGGCTATTATTCAAGAGCCACTAACTGCAAGTAATATTTGGTTACTCAGTCTGAGTTTGAAACCAGTAATTAGCTTGTGTTTAAGTAGACAGTGGCTCGTTTTCACTTATCTGATGCCATCATGTGGGAACATAATAATTTCGCTGTGCTACCAAGACAGTATTAGCATGCTGCTGTGGCCCATCCGCATCTAATAACTTGATGGACTCAGTATGAATTGGCTAATGGACACTTCTCTTTCCAGCTTGACTATCAAAGGATAACACTTTTAAAGTTGAGCTTTTTGTTAAATTCACCATTTGTTAAATAGCTTTTCCAGAAGTGAACTATGCCATTTGTTAAAGTTTTCAAACCAGTAGTGAATGCTCAGAATTTCTACCATGGGTATGAATTATTCATATGCAGAATAACAAAAGAAAAAAAACAAGTCTAATTTTAAAAGCAAAATTCAATGTTAAAATCTCTGAGCAATTACAGTCTTATTTGAAATGGTAACACTAATCTCTCGTGTAGGAAGTCAAGAGAATAGTCATCTCTGGGATAGGAATCGATAGTGACCAGAGAAGGTCTGCAAAGGAGCTTTGGGTGCTTCCAGGGTTCTAGTTCATGAGCCGGATGGTGGTTTCACAAGTATGTCCGTTTTGTCATAATCTGTCAAGCCCTATACTTATCATTTACACGCATTCCTGTAAGCACATCAAACTCCAGTACATTTTTTAAAAATTGTCTTTTTCTGAATTTCACCTTAATCCAAACTGCAACCTAAAGTTCCTGCAGGTAAAGGAAAATTTTCTAGAGTCCCTAGTCTTTACCTTGCCTTTTTAAGATTCTGGTTTCATTATGTTCCAGGAGTCCTACTGCGTAATGGGTCTTCTCCAGTTTCTTCCAACCAAGACTCATAGAGGATCTAGCAGTGATGTCACCAACTATCCTTCTGAATGTATTGTAGTGTGTGTTTTATGTTTGAATGTCAGTGTCATCTGTGCTTTTATTAGATTCCGAGGCATTGTGGGCTTAGAGAATGGGACTGGAAGTGGCCTTGGAGCCATAACTCTACCTAGCACCTCAACAAATATTAAACCTGGTTAAATCTTTTCAAAGATAGTGTCCCTACCGTTATATCAAAAACTTGTCACAAGGCTTGGATTATAGTTTGAACTATGTCTGTAGTGTTTATTTTCATTTTTAAAATGATTTCATTACAGAAAAGTTTAAAGAATAATGCAAAGAACTCCTGTATACCCTTTACCAAATTCCCCTGTTGTTGACACTTTGCCACATTTACTTTATATTCTCTTTCTCTTTTGGAAGTATGTTGTAGGCATGATACCCAATTATTCCTAAATACCTTAGTGTGTATTTCCTAAAAATAAGGACACTCTCCTACATAGAACCATCAAAATCAAGAATGTAATCTTGATATAATGCTACCATCTAATTTACAAACCCTGTTCAAATTTGGCCAATTGTCCCAATGTGCAGGATCATGTGTCGCATATATTTCTCATGTCTTTTTAGTCTTCAGTTTTGAACAGTTCCTAAGTCTTTCCTTATCTGTCACAACCTGAACAATACTTAAAAACACAGCCCAGTTACTTTGTAGACTACTTCTCAGTTTGGATTTTTGTCTGATGTTTCCTCATGATTAGATTTAGGTCAAGTCTTTTTGGCAGGAATGTCACAGAAGTGAATTGTATTCTCATCATGTGGCATTTGTCCCATTACTGGCATTTGTTGTCTAATCACTTGGTTAAGGTGTCTGGCAGTTTGCTTCACTATGTAATGAATAGGTATCTCATGAGCAGATACTTTGAAACCAGGTAAATATCTCTTTGCTCTACAAAATGTCAGCACTTTTAGCATCTGTTGATGATTCTTGTCTGAATCAGTTGTTACTGTGATCGTTGCCAAAAGGTGACTTTCTAACCTCATCATTCTTTCCACATTTATAGTTGGCATTCTACCATAGGTAAGCGCTTCCTCTTTTCTCCATTAATTCATTTATTTATATCACTACACATCCATGGATTCCTATTTTACTCAATGGACTATGGTCCATTACCATCATAAGATGTACCATCTGCATACTTTCCATGCCCTAACCCTGGAACCGGCCATTTCTCCAAGGAGCTCTGGTTCCTTTTAGTGGAATATAGTGTTTAGAAACCCAAGTGTGTTCATCGCTAATGAGCTATCACTATATACTTACACACACATACAAATGTACACACAACTGTATTCTCTAATTTTCAATCTATTGAAAACAGTGTGTTCACACCAATACCTCCAATTCCTGTCATACACCACAAGGCTCATTCCAACCTTCCCCTTATCCATATTTGTAACTTCCTTCTCTGACAGTAAGAAACCTGGTTCTCATTACCCTCAATGTATTTAGTTATTTGATCAATGCCCCTGTGAATAACCAATCTTCGGGCATGCTGACCACTTCCCTGACCATGACTATCTCCTCACTTGGCCCTGATGCTGCTGGCTGCCTCCAATAAATATTGGGGAAAGGGAGAGTCATCTAAGTTTCCATGAACCTGGGCTCTGACATCTCCCTGTCGTCATCTCTTGCTTGCTGCTCCAACATATTGGCGTCCATTCTGTTCCTTGCACATGTCACGTGTTATCTTATTGCCTTGGCACTTGATTTGCAGTTGGTGTGGAATGGTCTTTCCCAGAGCTGTGGCTTGCTTTCCCACCTTTCCCAAGATCTTCTTCAAAAGTCTTAATGTAAAATTAGTACTCCATCAACATCTCATATCCCTCCTCCATGCTTTATATTCTCCCCCTGATACTTACCATTGACATACTGTGTATATATCTTACTACTCCGACTCGGCCTTGCTTCATAGGGCAGGGATTTTGATCTGTGTTGTTCACTACTTTATTCCTATCACCTAGAAAAGTGTCTAGGACATACTAAGCCCTCAAGAGATTTTCGGTGTTCTTCTGTTAATAATTGATCACAGGGAAAGAAAGTCCAACTTACTATGGCTATTCATAAAGCAGACAGTTGAAACTAGAGTTGACAGTGATGAGCAACTTTGAACTCAGTGTCTCCAACACTTATGTAATCAGTGTGCATTCTTTCCTCTGAGTCCATCTGTGTAGAGCAGAACACTTTTCAAAAAACCATGTAGGAATGGCAATCTCAGGATACTTGTCAGAGTCACTTCCTGCACTTACTGGAGGCATGAACTTCCTAAGAGTACAGCAAGGATATAGTATATCACGAATATCATTCCCGTTGTGTTTAGTATTGCCAAAAGTCCTGGTTTTTGGCAGGAAGGAAGGTTGGAGGATGATCACTTCCATGTGGATTACAGTTCCTAAATGTTTTGTTTGTAGAAGATACTGTCATGTCCCATCACAGAGGAAATGGAGTCACATAAAGTTTTTACTATGATGTATTTAGGTATGGCTTGTTCTTTTTTCCTTTCCCTTCTTGGAGTTCTTGGTCTTCTTGACTCTGAGGATTATTGTTGGAAATAAAGTGTTTGAAAATTATCAGCCATCATTTCTTCAAATATTCTGTTACAGTCTTCTCTCTCTGGGAATCTACATATGGGTTATGACTTCTTTATGCTCTGTGTGTCTTATCCTGTATTCTTCATCTTTTCTTTTTATTTGTCCAGGCTTCTTTCTGGATATTTGTTCTGATTTTGCACTTCATCCAGCTGTGTCTAATTTGCAATTAAAACCATCAAGCTATCAATTTCAATTAACTGTTTATTTCAATTTTAGAATTTCTATTTGCTTCCTTTCAAATCTGTTATGCTTTTTTGTTTAATAGTTTCTAGTTCTTTCCTGAAATTTCAAATCTTGTCTTTTATCTATTTAAACTAGTTAGATAATTTTACTCTGTGATAATCACATTATCTACAGCCCCTGGAAGTCTATTTAAAAATCCCTCAGGCTCTGACACCCCATGTCAGGCTGTTCTCTCTGTGTAGAGGCTTTCCTTCCTTGCTTAGGCTCTGAGAAAACATGCCAGGCGGCTCTCCCATGTGAAAACCCTTCTCACTCTGCCTAGGCTCTGATCCCCATGCCAGGTTGCCCCTCGGCACCCTGAGTACCCACGTCACCGCATTTGAGCCAGACACCCTGTGCTGGGTTGCCCCCACATGGATACCCTCCTAACTGTTCTTGGACTGTGAAACTCCACAAGGGACAGCCACTCAACCACCATGTGGATGCCCTTATCATCTGGCTCAGACTGTGACACCCCACTCTGGGCTACCACAACACCGTTCCCTGTGCAGTCAGATGCCTCACCTGATAGATAGCTTTTGGAACAAATTGTTCAGGACAGTAAGGGAAGGGGAAGAAGAGAAAGAAACATGTAATTAAAAACAAATCCAATCTAAAGTGTTTGTCTTTTAAGTGAAGCGTTTTGGTTTTAATAAATTTAATGCAATTACTAATACATTTTTGGGCTGAAGCTACCATCCGATTTTGTATTTTCTGTTTCCTATAATCCATTCCACTCTTTTGTTGCCTATTATTTTTTTTAACTCTACTACTGTGGATGATATGCAATGTTTCTTCTCTTCTAATGGTTCACTAGAAATTAAATACATCATTTATCAAATATTAATGGTAATATCATTACCTTCCTTTTTAGAATACTACCATCTCTCCACTCACAACTTATGCATTATTTTGTTAAATATTTCAATTCTCTATTTTTAAACCACAAGATGTTCTTGTTTTATACAGTTAATATTGAGAGGTACTACCACTTTTTTTGCCTTTTATTCTTTCTTGCAAATCAGGGGTCATTTTTCCTCTGTCTGATATACATCTTTTAGAATTTCTACAGTGTTACTACAATGAGTCTAAATGAGAATTTCTTTTTATTTGTCATGCTTGGGATTTCTTAGGCTTCTGGAATTTATGAATTTCCGTCATTTTTGGGTAATTCTAAATCATTTCTTCAGTTACTGCCTCTACTCTCTCTCTCATCCTTTGAAATTCCAATTACATGTATAATTCACTGTATCTTATTTTTTACCTGTCTCCCCGTTGGCTTCCCCTTGTTTTTTGGTCTTTTTTTGAACTTAAAAGAGTTATTTTGGGGCTGGCTGAGTGGCTCAGTTGGTTAAGAGCTCGCTCAAGCGTGCAAGCTCTGGCTCAGTTGGTTAAGAGTTGGCTTAAGAGTGCGAGCTCTGAGCAACAGGGCCGCGGGTTCGATTCCCACATGGGCCAGTGACACTGTGCCCGAGCTGAGCTGTCACTGAGCTGCCAACAGGTGGCAGGATGGCTCAGCTAAAAAACAAACAAACAAAAAACTTATTTTTTTCTGACATATCTCCCTAGTTCACTAATTCTTTTGCTGTGTCAAATCTACTGCCCAATATATCCACAGAGCTTTTAATTAGTCATTATATTTTCTATTTGACTTTTTTCAAATCTGCTAGTTCTTCTGTTTTCCAAATTTCTCAATGAAACTTTCACACTTGCATTTAATGTCTTAAAAATAAGCATAGTACACCTTAAACTTATAAATGTTATATTAATTATGTCTCAACAAAACTGGGGACAAAATAAGCATAGTAGTTTTACGGCTTATATCTAATAAGTTCATTAATTAAAGCCCCTTTTGGTTGTTATCTCTTTTTTCCCAATTTTTTATTATGGTATAGTGCATATAACAGAAAATTTACCATCTTAACCATTGCTTTTAATTTTTTATTGAGTTATAATTGACATTAGTTTCAGGTGTACAACATGATTCAGTGTTTGTATATATTGTGAAATGATCACTACAATAAGTCTAGTAAACATTTGTCACTTTACGTAGGTACAAAAACTTTTTTTTCTTGTGAGAACTTTTTAGCTCTACTCTCTTAGCTCTACATTAACTCCCCATGACTTATTTATTTTATAATTGGGAGTTTTTACCTTTTGACCTTCTTCATCCATTTCTCCAACTCCCAACCCCCTCTGGCAACTACCAATCTGTTCTCTGTATCTATGAGCTTGGTTTTTTTTGTTTTGTTTCTTTTTTTTAATTTATTTTTTATTTTTTAATTTTTTCCTGCCTCTCCTCTCCGCCCCTTCCGTTTTGTTTCTTTTTTTGGCTCCACATATAAGTGAGACCATATGGTATTTGTCTTTCTG